CACATAAAATAAAAAATTTATATCTTTATGTTTGAAGCCTGAAATGTGGCAAAAGGTTGAAAAGTTCAAGGGGGCCGAATACTTTCGCAAGGCACTGTATGTCTGGTATATTTCTATTCATGAGAACTAAGAATTTTAGTTGTACTGTCGTACAGTACTGTTTACCTTGCTTAATGAAATCTGGTAGGTCACTTTCATTTTCGGAATCCCACCTCTGCATTCTTTATGCAGAGCATTTCACAACGATATCAGGCTCTGTTTGTTAACTGCCAAGTACACGCGAGCACTTCCAGTCATTAGCTAACAATACACGGAGCTGGCCCAGTACAAGTACCCGATTTGATGACTATGGCGACATAAGAAGTTCAGGTGGGGAGCTGCGTCAGCACGCATAGGCCGCAAAGGAACAAGTAATAGGTTCATTCCATGCTGAAAAGAGAAGAAAGACAACACAACGTTTTAGGTGAAGGCACTTGAGAAGGCTCTACAGCCGGAACGTTGTGTTTTCTTTCTTCTCTTTTCAGCATGGAATAAATCTATTACTTGTTCCTATGGTGACATAATACAATTATCATTATGCAGTTCAGTCTTCATAGATAGCCACAGGCTCCACACCAAAACAAAAAAAAACATTTAATCTACTGTATGTTGCTCAGTCCTTAAATTATGCATTCATATTCTTTCACTTTCTAATTGCTTGAGATCAGATCCAGATTATTATCAATACAAATTCTTTTTACTCGGTAATCCATACATTCAAGAGGGGAGCCTCGTCAGCGTCAGCATGCATAAGCTGCAAAGGAACAAGTAAAGGTTAACTCCCTACTGAATAACAGAAAGGACAAACACAATGTTTTGGCTTCTGAGCCTTCTTAAGGTATAAGAACAGCTATTAAGCTGGTGTGCCTCCAGGCACAACTGAAGAGGGCTCAACAGACAAAACATTCTGTTTCTCCTTTCTATTTTGGACCATGGAATTAAACTCGACTTATCCTATACTTTAATAATTACGCATGAATTATTTCTGTCCCTCTGTGGATGTACAGTATGTTTACAGGAAGAAACATTAAAACAACCATGTCCTTAGTAAGTGATGCCAAGTTATTATGGTGTCCTTACCGGGGGTGTAACCCTTCCTTTCAATTCTGGCACTTAAGGAGACGGGGCCTGAGGAGCAGAACCAGCAACACAGAGTCTTGTCGGCTGTAAGTAACTGTGGTGCCTGATTGAAACAGGGCAGAAAGGTTAACGCTAATTCACTGCGCACTGCAAGAGAAGAGATATAGTGATGTTGAATAAATGAAATGGCAAGGGCTAGATGTTCTGTAGAAGGCTATATCTGTGTTTCATCTCACCCAGAATGAGGGGCCAGTGGTAGATTGGATGATTTGCAACACCAATTTTACAATGTTTTCAAATGGCCAATAATATAATTTCTGGAGAAGTAATGTGAGAAAATAGAAGCGACATTTAATAAGAATGGTCCATTAAAAACAAGTGATACATGGTGTCAGTTCATGCTCATTGTCTACACTAACTTTTTAGGAACTGAGTATGTAAGTTGCCATTTAAGAAGGACACAGTAATTATGTTTGTTTTCTTTACCACAATTGTATAGGCATTCCAATTATTGTCTTTCATGTTATTGTTTTGGAGTGTTTATATGAAAACTAGATTCACCAGAATAACAAGTTTCTAGAGAGGGAATGTCTCTTCTGCCCATTACTGAAACTACAGTACTGTCCACCCAAGCTTTAAGGTTTTAGGTTGTTTTTTTAAAGCTTTAAAAGACCTACACAAACTTCAAAGGCATTTATTACACATATGGTATTCCTGTAAGGGACAAATCCCAGTTAAGGAGGTAATACTTGCTTTCAATTCAATTTATGCTATAACTATACAATCCATTTTAATTACGCATAAAACCATTTTATGACATTACTGTGAGAACTGCATCTGAAAAATGTCTTGAAGCTCAGACTTTTAATGGCGTTTTCTTAAAATATTATCAATGACATTCGCCTTTTCTTTATTTCATTCAGTGTAGACAGAAGAGCCCATCCATTCGAGAGTGAAGTGCTGAGTTTCCAGTTCAGATTGCAAAGTCCCTTGAGAATTCATAAATCACTTTAAATACAGTGACACTGCCTTGCAGCAGATTGCAAAGTCGGGTAAGTTTCCTGTTTACCCCCAAAACAAATGACTGTAAAAAAGTTCAAATACGGATTTGCAGCGCCTGCCAACTGACGTGACAATTTCAATAAAGCATGAAGGAACGCTGCAGGTGAGCTGTGCAATAAATAAATGATTAAATTACATTTCACTAGGAACAGCACCATCCAAGACGTAGATGCTTTCTGACTATTTGGATTTATTGTGTGGGACAGATTTGGTTTAACCTGCTTGGTAAATGGGTAGCCTCCTGGTCACGGGATGAGGTGGCCTGAACCAAGGAGTGGAGGACTGCTTGAGACAAATGCGAAGGGAGGTGTTTGTGTTCTACATATATATAGCTGATTTCCATAATGATTGTTATTAGGTACAGCTGTGTGACATTCACTTGTCGTCGTTACCCCTCCCGAACTTCAGTTATTAACTTCCATGAAAATACAAGCATTTCCTGCTCTTTTAAGATCATGCGAAATGGGAACTCCTCCATTCTTTTCTCTATTTCGTCTCACAGGAAAATCTGAGACTCTTAACGCTACTTACCAACAGCTCAAGGCTATTGACGTCAATATGTTTGACAACAGCAAGGTCCATCTTGACAGTTTTGGACAGATGCCATGGTCGGTGTAATTTTGCTTCCAGCCAGTATCTCACACTGCCATGACGTCCCTTAATGGAAGATGGCAACTCTCTGAATCAAAACGAAGGAAGTGATCACAGAACTGCTTTTTTATGTTGTTGCTGTTGTAAGAATGTGCTTTCAATGATACTTTCTTGTTTTCTCATTTTTTAAGAAAGAAAATGTTCAAGCATTTTCGAAGAAACACACCACAGTTTTCCCACACTTCTTGTCCAAAATTAAAAATATTGTTTTAAAATAGCTTTCCAAGTTAAAAGGCCAAAGAACAAACCCAACTGGCACATTGTGTTAAGGAACTAAATGTTTCTCTAGTAATTTTTATTCTTGGTCAGGAATTTATGCATCTTAACTTGAGAAAAAGAGGAACTTACTCATGTGGAATCTGAAAAGTAAAAGGGTACACCTGGGTTCCTGACAGGACGACGTTCCGACCTAAGAGAAAATAATTCACATGTAGATTACAAAAACAGCGAGAAATCGATGGATTGCGTTTATGCCGAGGAAAATGTAAGAATTCAGGATTCGCATTCTTCTTCCTTGACATAAAATAGAATGTAAATTTTGTTTAGTTATATACTTTACTTAAAGACAATTGTAATTGTCTATTTAGTATATATATATTATAAACTTGTGGTCAAGAGGAAAACGCGCCACCTAACTACCAACTCTAACAAACCGACCAAAAGCCCTACTTAGTTTCAGAGCTCCAATGAGATCGGCTTACAAAGTAGCAATGCTGTTGTCCAAAGAAGGTAGTCGAGTAACAGAATGATCGTGATAACGACTACGAAGCTACTTGACTAGTTTTTAGAAGGAGGGTTACAGAGATTGCTATCTTTAACTAAATGTCTTAAAACCTAAAATAAACACTTCTGGCTCCAAACGTGCACCTCCTGACGTATCACTAAGTCATTTTTAGGACTGCCTACCACTAATGGCAACACATCCCAAATAAAATAGAACCATCTGATGGCGATGCACAGGAAATGGTAACACCCTGAAAACAACAAGTGATAAAGCAAGATCGTTTAAAAAAAAACACCTGATATCAGCAATAGTGCAATTGCGCATCTAAAAATAAAACTCCCCTTTGTGCTGATTGCAGTTTCTATTCTCATTCTGACTTCAACTGAATGCTTTGTGAAAAGAATACACTATTGACACCTGAGCCTTGTACTTTATCGTGGCGAGTGAGACAGTCTCTTAAAAGCTTAAACAAATGCACCGCCAATAAGTTTTTCTATACTCGTGATCTACGAGTTTAAATTACCCTTCCCCCTCCTTGGCAGTGAAAGCTGGGGGACTACTGTCGTCCATTACATCCTGATGCACCTGCCTGGCTGTCAATGAACTCTAATAAGGATTTCCTAAAACAGGACAGAAGGCTGTAGTTTGTAACATTAAGGCATCCAGCTTCAGACATTGTGTGCGAACTTGTTTGTAAACCTCTTTTCCGCCACTTTGTTGTCCATCTGTCAGCTAAACACCGGAAATAAATATGTTCACATTACCCGATGAAGACTGTATTAAAACGTTTTTAATTTTGAAGTATTTTTCATTCGCAGAGTAGGTATCGTCATTTTCACCATTTGTTTCCGACCACCATACATCCGCGCGTCCTTTCGCACTAATCGTGAGAAGCTGTACATTCACGTTTCCTGTAACGTCGATAATCACACGCCCAGAGATGAAGTCTCCACTCGAGAAGGTGTTGCTTTCGTTTAGATAGTCGCAGCTGATGGTGAGACTGGTCACCTTTCCTTGCGCCATTATTAAACTTATTTAATTGTATCAATTTAAAAAACCCAAAACGATCCCTTCTTGGGATGTCCCTTCTTCATTTCACACAACTCTCAGTTGCATCCTTCTTGTAAAACACGGATACCACGCACTCAATATTAGGAAATATTCCGGGTCAGGGTAGGCAGTTGCGACACAACACTTTAGAAAGGGCTGCAACCTGTCACAGGGCACACATACTGTACATGAACGCTCACGTATGTACAGTACAACCTACAGTATATACACCAGCCTACGCTCGCCAATGTGTCTTTGGAAAGTGAAAGGAAACCGGACCCCCCTTCGAAACCTCAAACGCACACGGGGAAACATGGGAACTCTACACAGAAGGCGTCCCAGTTCGGAATGGAACCCTTCACACTTACAAAAATATATTACTTTTATATTCATGGCTCCGTTTTAAAAAGCGAAACCCTTAGCTGCCGTTACAACACAACAGTGCAGGCGGAGCAATTGTTTTGGTCCCTAACCGAGCTGTACTTCGTTTGTGTAACACAACTCCCAAACGTTGAGTAAGATCCTTAAGTTATTGTCATTTACTTTCCCCTAGATATTTTTCTTATATCCCGTTATGGGAACAGTATCTGAAGCTCTGTTAACAAGTTGACAGATATGTGTTAATATAGTAAAACTATACTATTGTAAATAATAAAAAAAAACGTATATGATGTTTGAAATCCTGGCATGTTAGATTTATATTTCGCTATGTTTTATCGGCTTCCCAGTTCACAATTGTTGTTACAGGTTGAACGGCCTTTTGTTTTGCACGCCTGGATAAAGACACATCACTCATGTTCTTTATTGTGCAAAAAAGAACAGTCACAACAGATGGTATTCGGTCTACATACAGTAGCTCGTATCAGCTTTGAACCATTTAAGCTTCTTTAACTAGCATTCGATAAAATAGTATATTATACTATATAGTGCTATTGTAATTGGGAATCATAAGATGTAAGCTCTCCCGGTCTTACGATGAATTAAAAAATGATAATAAATGGTTAGGCAGACATACAATAGTGTCAAAATGTTGTTAGACAGAAGTTCTTCAGTGCAAAGTACTGTTTTATCAACACTATGTGAAACTGCAAGTAGACCTGCACTATACTAAGTGAGCTGCCTCACTACCCATGTTAGACCACATAAAAAAGACCGTCTCCAATTACAGGAAGGAATGTGGCTGTAGGCTGCTTATCAGCGTGTGTTTGTTTGAAATTCTGCTAGTCTGAGGCGGTAAACTGTCTCAAGCAGGTCAGGTCTCAGGTGTTATTAATAAAGATTGACAATTTTTTTTCACGTTCAAGGGAAGACTAACGAGAATCATCTATTGTTCCTAGTGAATGCATAAAAAGGTAAGATCTTTAGTGTCAGCTTATCGGTTTATTTGTAGGCTTGAACCTGAAAATCTCTTGTTTAAAGGAATTGAGACATTTTCATCTTGCGACACCCAAGTCTGCGTTCATTCTTGGTGTTCATGCACATACTGTACACATTATTAATCAAGAAAATGCAATTTGCGAATTGTAGGTGATTTCAGCTGCTATATCTTTAAGAAATTTCGATAGAGACGTTTGCTGGAGTTGTACTTCACGTTTTGACTGTTTTATGCGTGCTCTGAAAATTAGCTGTGCAGAAGTTGTGGTCAAAAGCTTTCGAAGTCTTATTTCCTCAGTGTCTGTGGTTATGTATTATACATATGTTCCAGTTCCACTTATCAGCTACAGCTTTAAAAGTGTTTCATTTTTCTAACTTTACATTTTAAAAATATCTGAAACAATTAGATTGATTAATAGCTCAATGAAAAGTAATAAGAAAATAAAACACGTTTCATTCTTTTAACATTCCAGTAGGAACGTCTTATTGTCCCTTTGCAGCACACATATTGACACTTTTTTGTAATCCTGTTTTCTTCCACTGTATTTATAAAATATAATCCTACTGTAACATACTGTAACATTGCAGGCTTAATTTATCGTAACTTAAATTGTAGCGACACATTTGTAGGAATCGGTGAAAATATGCTGGTTAAAACTTTTAATATTTCATAAGCACTTTGCTGATCCTGTCGCATTTTCCCATGAATGAAAGAAAACCACAACTAGTGTATGTAACAACGTCGCTATATATGAAAATCCCAGAAGGAAGATCACTCCCAGTATGCAAATTATCGGAATATACCACTATGAACTCACGTTTCTCAGACTCAAGTCCGCGGACCCTTGATCAATTACTGGCCAATCACTGCCGTAACCTTAAGTAGCATTGCGATTTAATTGTATACTCGGGAATAACCCAGAAGTGTCTTTGGCAGACTGGAAGCTTGAAGCTATTTGGTGGACGACAATCTCTTCTCATTGTTACCATTAACCGTCAATTAAAATGTGATTAAATAAATATGTACCCTGGTAAAAGAAGAGCTTTTTTTTCTTTCATAAGACATCTCATGTGAATCACATTCAACCAAGTGAGTCGGTGCTACTGTGTTGTTCATGACAAGACGGGGGATAGTGATAAATGTGATAAGGAAATGCAACCAACTTTGATTTTATTGGTAACAAACCTCTTAAAATAAACTGAAGTATTTAGATCTTTTGACCTTCTCAGGCCATGGCTTATTTTTTTAAGGCACAGAAAAAATAGAAAGGCTAATTTCTCCTGAATATTGTCCTAAAGAACTTACATATAGAAAAAAACAGAATCACTAAATTATTCATCATTGTGAACAGCAGTTCAGTGGCAGTATTGCCCTCAGCAGTATTTTAGTTTTTGTGAAAGAACAGTAACAGAGGGAGAAAATCGGTGTCAGTGGAAGTGAAAGACAGATTGGAAAGCATCTGGGAGAGGTCTATGCAGTTGCAAAATTCCCCTTTGTTTAGGTGAAAACATTTATAACAAAACAATAATAAATAATACAATAATAACAATAGTAGAAATAATAAAACAGCAAAAACATTATACATCTTTTACTATTAAGGACACAAACAGTGGTTTATTTGTTCAGCTCACCATTTAAAACTTACATACTCTTATTTATATATAGTATAGTGAATTGAATATGTATTTAAAGTACTATAGTTGTATGTATGTGCCAGTTTATGTGTGTATCACAGACAATACTTAAGATTTAAAACACTATACTTGACTTGAAATGGTTTTAAATAAATATTATACAAGACTGTTCACGTACAGTATTGTCCAGCGCTCTAACACTTGTTTTTTCAAAAGTAAAGTCAATAAGTTTTGTTTTCAACCATGTTATAATGCCATGGGTGGAACATATAATTAAGTCTTTATTTCAAAAGAAAGTAACAGTCATTTTTTATTTAAAAAAAGGTCACTGATCAAACACCTCCATATAGTTAAAGGAAGGAAGTTCCATTTTATTCTCAAATGCATTTATGTTGCACTGGGTCTTCCTTAATTTACTTTAAATAGCTTTGTCATAACTAGTTCTGTAAAGATTTTACAAACCCATTTTGTAACCCTTCTTAATTTTTTTCGCCCTTGAATAAGAATAATATACAATAGTGGTTTTCTGCTACTGTGTTCTTTAGCTCATTTGTGTTGAATGTTGAAATGAGTTTCTGGATAATGGGGTTTCATTATTACACGTCATGGCTGGTCAGGATTACTGAAGCCTTAGTACAAATATCTGCCCTAATTTGACTTCAAACATCTACATTCAAAATGAACACAAACAATTTAATCCTATTTTCAGTGTTATTTTAATATTAGTGACATCGTGGAGGTACCAGTAAAATACATTGTTTCCCTTGAAAACATACAGCCTAGCTCTTTTAAAATTCTGCCTCATTCCCCTTTAAACTGGTTCTCCTTTAAACTGTTGTTTTGTATATCAGTCACAGACAGATAACTCTAGTTCTGAGAGACAGACGTGGTTTTGAAGAAAAACATTACACTGCCTACCCAGATAATGATCTTTCTGTACAACATATGTTGTGGCTTTCATGAACATGAAGACCTATGTTTATACTTGTTTTGTTTCACCACGTATAGAAATGTGAATAATATAGAAATGTAGAGCTTAGAAAGACACATGAAATTAGTGTAGTACAGATTTGTCTTTGAACCTTTTCATAAATATGAAGATTCTGTTCTTTAATCTGTGGGGTTTTTTTAAAACAAAAATGTTTTGAGTGCTCTGTGATATCTGGCGTGAAAGAATCTACTTTTTATTTTTCAAAATTGTATTTTTCTCCTTTTAATTGCAAATGACAAGTCTGAAGTCATGAAGATTGCATCCTTCAACATCCAGCGATTTGGTGAAAACAAAATTGCTGACAAAAACATCCTTTCTGTTCTTATCAAGGTAAGACCCTGTTTTTAAAAGCCACAAAGCTTTTAACAATGAGCAAGAGTTTTGTACATAGAATTATATTACAGGCAGTTTTGAATTTATCAAGAAGAAAAATATTATAAATGTGCATGTAATGTTTTACAAAATATTACATATTATTAATAAGTAATAGATTTTGTATCATGGCAACATGCTTCTTTAAGATGCTGTCTCACGGCTCCATGGATCTCTGCTTCAGTCTTCTGTCTGTGTGGAGCTTGCACATTCATGCTAGTAAAATAAAGTTCCTAGTGAGGAATGACAGTCTAATTTAAATACTCACTTTTTTTTGTATTCCTACAATGAAATAGTGTCCCATCTATCAGTCATGCCTTGTGCCTTGTTTTTCCTAAATAGGCTCAGTCTTCCCACAACCCACATATCCCACAAGGATTTGTGGGTTATCAGTAATGGGTGCATGTGACAGACAATCTAGGAAAATAGTCCAAATGCAGCTTCTCTGTATAAACCTAAACCCGAACCTTCACATGTGTGTAGTTAAACATGGGTGCAGCACAAGCTGTCACCACTGGATGTCTATGTACAAATAGGATAGGGATAGAGGAGCTCCGTGAACTTGCCCCCCCACACAGACAGTACAAACATTCGTTTTTTCCTCATTCGTTAGTACTGCTTTTGTGCCGGTTTGTGTCGCTGTAAGTAGCATTTGTGCTGCTTTCGTTTCTGAGATAAAGCGCCTTGTTATTTCGGGTAATCATGTGACTATCTACAAGGATGTTTACAGGTACCAACAAACTCGGTACTTGAACTCCTGATTGTGATGAAAACGGTGGGGGCAATTTGTTTTCCGAGTCTGGTCGGGTGGGGTGGATGTTTCAATATATTTCAATATAGTGCGTTCTTTTTCTGGCTGTGACGTCACTCTGTGACGTACAAAAAGCAAAGTCACGACCACTAGATCTTTCAGTTGTGATCTTGATCAGTTTACCCCAGAGATTCAGCCAACAGTGTTACATTTAGGGAGGAGTTACTATGTTAGTTCATTAGGTTAGGTATTTTCTTTTAATTTTTAACCATGTTCTCGAAAATGTATTGCCTGTATACTCCTTTCATTGGTGAAGAGACACCAGTTTCGAAATTACCGCTGGTACAACACGAGAGCCCATATTCACATTTTTAGGTATTAGTTTCCAATATAATTGAACAATAAAAAACAAAATTGAAAGCACGAGCATAATAATATAATGATCATAAACTTTACATTTCTATTCATTTTTTAAGTACAAAGCAGAAGGTGTTTCCCCCACCTTAAATGTACGATTAAAATTGTTCAAATACCATGTAATCATTACAGAAAGCAGCGGAGACAGTTATATTGCAAATAAAAAAGTATTTATTTCGAAACGTACGGGACATTGTGAATCAATAAAGACGTTAAAATACAAGCCGATGGTGTTATTTTGCAAATAAGTAAATCGTTTTAAAAATAGTTTCTCATTGACGGTAAACAAGCCGATCCACCTGCAGCTGCTGGCTTGAACAGCTCACAGAGCCTCGATTGGCTAAACCCCCGAACAGCTCGGGCTGCGATTGAGTGAAGAATGAGAATCGACACTCTGATTGGGTAAAGCGCCACAGCAGGAGTTCTGTATGTACCGTATATGTTGTATGAGCACGCTGGATATACAATAACACCCACTGGTTTTCAATTACTGATCAATCTAGAGAAGTCGCACTGGGTTCAAAACTGAATAGCAGAGAAAAAATGCCTTGGCATCCACAGCACGTTCATGACTCCGATAGCATGTCAAGATAGGAGGGCGCACATCACGATCACATCGCGATACCCATTGCGACTGGCGCATCACTGTCATGGCGCCACTGTCGCAACATTAAGTCCATATATCGCGATATGACATACCCCGACAAAACACCCCCGCCCCCATGTCGCGACATGAAGCCTGCATATCGCGATATGACATATCCCCGACAAAGTGCCCCGCCCCATGTCGCGACATGAAAGGCCCTATATCGCGATATGACAAACCCAGTCACGTCCATGTCGCGACATGAAGCCCTACATGAAGCGATACGATATACCCCGACATAATGCCCCGCTCCATGTCACGACATGGAATCCATATGTTGCGATAGGACATTCCCTGACAGGATATGCTGACCCCATGTTGCGACACACAATCCATATATCGGGACACGTCCTATCTGGGTATATCATATCCTGATATGAGACCTTTGTTGCCACAGCGGTGCCAGGGGGGCATGGAAGCAAGGCGCCAGTCGTGATATACACTGCCGCAATATACATGCCTTATACATGGGGTCCCTACCATGACATGCTGCAGAGGTCTTGTCGCGATGTTATCCCACGGTTATGCGTTTGGCAACAGCGTGTCACGGTAGGGAAAGCAAAGGAAAACGTTACGTATAAAATAAAAACCATAGATCTTACAATCACGGTGATTTTACATGCATTACAACCACAGGTTTATGTCATAGATGGTTAACTTGTTGGCATGCGTCATGTCTTAGTATTATTCACATCTAAGGAGGTAATTGATTGTCTTTAAAATGTTAAGGGTACGAGCTAAACTGTAACAGAGCGCTTGAACTCGGCAGACGGAGTCACTGGAGGTCAAAGTCATCGTGCATGGTCACATGATCACCGGAAAAAACAAGGCGCTATATCTCGGAAAACTAAAGCAGCACAAACGCTACTTTCAACAACACAAACCGGCACAAACATAGCACTGATGAATGAGGTGGGTTTAATCGTTTGTGTTGTCTGTAGGGGGGACAACTTCACAGAGCTTTTACCTTGTCTTTAAATATTCAGCGGACTTGATCATAACATACCAGAAGAATGTGCACGCACGTATGGGTTTCAGAGGTTGGAGTAAATGCATCGCCCCAAGGGTAATATCGAGTGAAGCGCCATGAGAATAAAAACTGCGAAGGTATTAAAAAATTAAGTTCTGAAGATCTTGTTTGATCCTTCATGCTTTGAAACTTGTATGAAACCCACGAAATTAGTACTCAATTTTAGACTCCAAAAGACACCTAATTTGGAAATTCTTCCAACAAGAATTAACAGTGAATTATTATAATCGCATTACAGTGCTAATCAAATCATCGTACCTTTAATTGCAAGAATGGTCTGCTAATAAAAGTGTCAAATACATATTTTTGATGTATTTTAGCTCTGTAAACGTCGTTCACTTAAAAATACTGCAAGTCATTTAGAGGTGATCTGAATACTTATCTGAAAAATGCACAATCGCATCTATCCGTCAATATTATCTTAATGTTATTCATGCAGTCCAAGACTTGTAATTTGTTTACAGGAGAAATTTTAGAACCTCTTCGTGTTTAACTCTTACAGATCGAGCATGTATCGAGCTGCTACAAGCAAACGCGTGCACTGGGAAGCTCGATACATGCTCTGGGAAGCTGGGAAGCAGCTAGGAAATTTCTTCAATGGCACAAACGTAGAACTAACAAATGAGACCGGTTTGGTTTCCCTACAACAGGGAAAGGGGGCTGTAGGGGGGCTGAGTGACGTCACGACCCCGATAAAACAAGGCGCTATATCTCGGAAACGAAAGCAGCACAAACGCTACTTTCAACTGCAGAAACTGGCACAAACATACCACTAACGAATAAGGTGGGTTTCATCGTTTGTGCTATCTGTACGGGGGGGGGGGGCAACTTCAAGAAGCTGGATAGAGGCAGAAACAATTAAAATAGACCCCAAAAAGCCTAATTTAACCATTCAAGCCAGGCACTTAAAATACTTAACATTAGAGAAGAGAGTGTGGGAGAGGTGTTTGCACAGTTCTGTAGGTCAGGAATGGTGTGGTGAGATACTATAAGATAGCAGAACAGATACAAGTATTTCCTGTTGTTGTTGTATCCTTGTAATTGCAACAGCAGAAACAACATGCCAACCATATCAGTGGTCCCTGAACCAAACAAATGAGAAGAATAAAAATCCTTGACATTAATAGAGGGTTATAAATAATACTGTTAGGGGCTGTTGTAAGAGACTATTGAAGTGCCTTTTTTTCGAATCTAGATACAATGGGTCACACCTGGCTAGTTTTAACACCTTGACACCTTTGCTCCTTTAAAAACTTGAACCATCTCTTTCTCTCGCCCTGCCCCTTGGTACAATGACCATCTGCGATCCATGAAGGCAGCCTCTCGCAAACTTGAGCGTAGGTGGCGTCTTTCCGGCCTAAATGTACATTACCAGGCTTGGAGAGATTACTTATCTGATCTTAAGGTTACCATAGAGTCTGCTAGATCCACCTACTTCTCTCACATCATTGAAAATCACCAAAACAACCCCAGACATCTTTTCTTCACCATCAACAGACTGCTCAAGCCAAACTGCCCTACCACATTACCTGCCTCATCACAACTTTGCAACACATTCTTAGATTTCTTTAGTTCTAAGATTGACAACATCTGGCACCACATTCTCTCCACTACGCATATCATTTCCATACCTCCTCCCTCCTCATCCAAGTTCTCTGGTTCCCTTCTCTCCAGCTTCTCTCTTCTTGACTCAGCATCCCTTAACAAACTAGTTACACACATGAAACCCACCACATCTATCTTTGATCCCATTCCCACCACTTTATTCCAGTCCTGTTTCTCTTTTCTCTGGTCAGCTTTTAAGATCACATGGCCTCAGCTTTCATTCATTTTGGAAGCATCCAGGATTACAGATAATGAAATTTATCTGTATGTAGTTTGTTTTCTGTTTAGTTTAGAAGGCATATTTCTCTTCTTTTGGCCTTTTTAGGCGTTATATAAATGTTGAACACTTGGTAGCCGTCTTAGTTGTCAGGATGTAAACCTCTGAAATGCCCTGTCAGTAAATTTGTACATAGTGTTAACATGTGTGTTGTAGATTTATGTTGTTAAGTTTTTTGTATTGTCATTGTTAATTAATATTTGTTTAGCCCAATGTGCGCCTTATTATCTTTTCATCAAAAGTGTGCCAGAGAACAAAGAACTCAGGTACCTCTGAGACTTATCTGTTTAAGGTGTGACTAGGTTAATTAAGCAACCACTCAGGTGTATTCTTGGCAAAATACAAGTTGAGGGTTATGATTATTTTAATTATGGATTTGTCTGCTCAGTCATTTTCTGATATTCAGGAATAGATCCGGTTTAAATGTAGTAAAAGGTAATGATGGGGTGTAATTACTATGATGAGTGTTTTCAAAGTGTAATTCTGGAAATACATTGACAAGTCAGTTGGTAATTCCATTGGTAATGGGCAAATGTCCAACACAATATGTGATAATGGAGAAGAAATCTATGTATTCTGAATCAATTTTTTTTGTTCTCTCTTCCTAGACTGTGTCTCGGTATGGCATTATCCTGATCCTAGAAGTGGTGGATGTCAAAGGAAAAGCAATTAAGAAATTTTTGGAAGAGCTAAATAAGTAAGAGTTTGGGGCCTTGCTTTAAAATAAGAGTTGCTATAGGTACAGTGGATAGCAAGTGTCCAGTTTGTTGCAAAGCAGGCAAAAGTTCATTTATATCACATGGGCAGTAATTCTGAGAGCTGTGAGCAGTGGTGGTCTTTAATGGCTTCAATCCTGCAGCAGCATATTCTGTAGTCCCCTTTAAATCACACCCCTCATAAATGCTAGGTTAATTGTGTAACTAAAAGCACAGGTGGGATAGAAAATCTTAATTTTCACTGAGGACCAAGAATTGGTAGCACTGAATAATAAGTAATTAGCCATCTCTTTATATATAGTGGTTTATGTTAAACAGTGTAAAGGAACATACTGGAATGTTATATCAACAATTAGATCAACAATTGAAGTTGAAGTTGAGAGTTTGTTAAAAAAGTGTAAGAAACATTTGTAAAACACATCATTGTAAATGTTCAGCATTGTGTATTCACTACAGCCTCACTGTTTTACTTATTAAGATGATGATGTTCACTGTTGTAGGACAGTCAGCTAATGGAGAGAAACATTTATGAAAATACAGGGAAACACCTGAACTTTGGTTTGCCTGTCAACAGGGCTAATAAGGACAACCCCTACACGATGCAAATCAGCACCCGCCTGGGAAGGCACACTTACAAGGAGCAATTCATGTTTCTTTACAGGTAAAGCAGACAATAAAACATCAGTTCGGGTGGCTCATGTGCCTCATGGCTTGGATTTTATTAATTCAAACCCAGCCTGGGGTACAATACCAGGGGTTCTCAGAGGGCAATGCACCATTGCTGGGGTATCGCAGGGGTTTGGTATGCTGATACTGCTTGGGGTCCTAAGTTTCCCCACTCTGGCATCTGTGGCCAGTCTGAGGCTTGTACGCGTGTGGTGTTACTGCGGGATTCATGGCTGTCCTCTGTCCTCTGCTGTGTGTGCTCTCTGATCACAGAGGGATGTGGCATGAGGAAAATCTGTAGGAAACATCTCTTATGAGCTGGTGTGGGACCGGTTACTATAAGCTAGAAGAGAATCACACTTGGTGGCTCCAAAAGAGGAAGATCAAAACTTTACAAGCTCAATAAAGATGAAGATAATATAATGCACTTCCTTCAGATTACTTAAATTGACCCTGGTGTGTGAAATTCAAGGGTGGTATTGCAAAACCCAAGCCTTGTATCATATCTCACTAACCACCACTTACTGGCTAAGTTCAAAGTCATAATCTACGGAGCACATCAAAACAAAAGCAGATCCGCAAGTAGAATATAAGGGATGTATCAGGACCAGCTGTTTGCTCTCAATCACTTTCTTTTACTCAGAAGAATCAGAAACACATACTGTACATGTTGATCAATGATTAACAGTGTATAAAGGTTTTTGGAAGTTCATTTAAATAAATTATGATTTTTGCAGTGTAATTCCACAGGTTGCATTTTTCAGATGTAATACTTAAATTTCTTTTTTTTCTATTTTAAAATATTTTACAAAAGAAAAAGAAAAATCATACAGTTTTGCTGAGTGCATTTTGCATTATTTCTCTGGTTTGGATCATTAAGATTCACTGACTGCATCTTAAGGTGGAAATGGTGTCCCTTGTATTTTGACTGTAAGGGAAGATTTGGTGAAACTGACTGGTTCGTACCAGTACGAAGATAATCAAGTGGGCGACGAAGATGCTTTTGCTAGGGAGCCGTTTGTTCTGCGTTTCACTTGTTCAAAAACAGGTAAGTAGATGTCACTGGTTTCTATAAGGAAGAAATTAGACAACTTTCAAATCAGCTTACTGTAGCTGGAAGTTGTTTTTAGATGTAGTTTGGAATAATCCAGTTTGTGAAGTTAGTAAAAGCTCTTGCATCCCTGTCACCTCTAGTCCTTGTATTGAACCTGTAGTGTGTAGTGTTTGTTCCATCCAGTGTGCTTTTGTAGATCAATGCCATCTTCTTCCAATGCTGTACACAGAGTCTGTACAAAAGATTCTGTCTCAACTGTTGGCAGTAGCTCAAAAAAAATTGGCACAATCTTCCTGTTTGAAGACCTAGCAGTACTAATTCACAACAGAAATGTGTTGCATGAAGGTTGCATCCATGTTCTCATCACTGACAAGTAACTAAAAACATATCACCAATATATGACATTAGTTCTTTGTGTACATCAGTCAAAACAATAATGTAGTACCCATAGCACAATGAGGTACACACCTCTGCTGAACAGAAGACTGGGGATCTAAAGATGTCAGTAGTTAAGGCATATGGTAATTCAAAATATTCTTCTGTGCAGTGTGTTAAGGTCATTCTGTTTCTTTTTGCATGCTGTAACATACTGTAGTTGACAGTAAAGTACTGAGGAAGTGGATAACGTCCACTTGCTGCTTTTTTCTTTACTGTCATTTGAAAGATGCCCCTGAAACTCAACATGTGACGAGATCTTTCTTTTGAGCCTGCAGAGCACAGCAGCACACAGCATCATAAACCACAGAATCGTTGCCACGCATTGCCCATAACATCCCTGTAAAACAGCAATATAATAAAACATAACAAAGAAAGTATAAAAATGTTTCCTACTTTATTTTATAATTGCTGCTATTAAACATATAGTTTTTAGATATAGTAAATATAACCATATAGAAATATGGAACAGATTAGGGACACACTCACACTTTAAGCAGTTAATAGCAGTTCTGCCTCATTAACTCAGATCGTTATTTACAGTTATTATTTTCTGCTCTTCAGTTTCTTTACTTGGTCATTAAAGATCTCACGGCACTTTTTGAAAGAGTAATTATAAAGTCCATCTTAAATTCCACTATGGGCTTGGCCAATCTGACCTTCCTACAATTCCTTCTTAATTCAAGTTGTGAAGCATTTTCTCATTTCTGCACCTGACCAGTGGTGAAGTCAGGCTGGTGGTGCATAATGGCTGCGGCACATGACCCAAGTGGATTCAGCACCTCAGAGGTGGCTGAACTGGATCTCTTTATGTAAAAATCTTGGGATGAAAAGTGGTTAAAAAATAAGGAATTATTATTAAACAAATGCGCTGCTGTCTAAATTGATTGTACATTGTATTTGTCCACAAAGATTTAATGCTGTAAATCCATTGCGAGAAACTGTAATGTTTAATTTGAGAAATGAATTAATCTGTCTATTTTTGCGAAGTCCTCAAGGATCTTGTACTGATTCCTGTACATACCCAGCCCAGCTCTGTGGAAAAGGAGTTAGACGAGCTCTACGATGTGTTCTTGGCCGTGCAAGATAAATGGGAAACCGATGTATGTACTTCAGAAAATCCCTGAAAATACAGAAAACGTATATGGTCCGAGCAACTTAGTTTTATCTTCGCAAAAATGTATTCAGTTAATCTAATAGCATACACAAAATCTACACTTTTTACTTTTGTGGTATTGTGAGATTGTGGACCTGCTCTACTGCTACACCTATGTTGTTACTATATTAACTTTGTAACATACGTTGTACTTACAGTAACTCTAACTCCAGTATGAAAATATGAAAATCGCTACAGTATGTGTTGGATACTGTTCATCAGTACTAAAGAAGTACTAAGATTGGCTGTGTTTTGCAGAACGTCATGATGTTGGGGGACTTCAATGCGGACGGGGGCTACCTCTCCAATAAAAAAATGAAGAAAATCCGCATCCGAAGTGACAAAAACTTCCACTGGTTGATTGAAGATGAGGTTGACACCACAGCCAATAAAGGAAATGACAACACATATGACAGGTGACTCTTGTTGAGAATGTATTTCTTTTTTTAATCCACTTCTGCCTCTCTTTTCTTAGATTTCAATAAGCTTCAACATTTTTTGTTTCCTTTCAAAACAAAAAGTTTAGGAAGGTTACAAATTTGTGAGGATAGTTTGTCCATTCTTGTTTGTTTAGTTGTTTTAAACAAATTTATCCAAGTGTTTCTTGATGGCCCCCACAATAGTCATCTTCAGATACCCAACATTAAACAGTTTGTCCCAAAGCCCCATGACTCTTTTGCATACAGTTTATCACCTGTTTCTTGTGTTCTTTGTTCAAGAACTAAAGTTTTAACATCTCTGTAATGTCATAACATAATAATAATATTTTTGTATTATTATTATTCCTTACACTTATATAGTGTTTCTCTGGACACACCACTCAAAGTGCTTTATGTGAAATGAGGATTCCCTTTCACTGATGTGCATCCGAAGTGTGCCAGTGTACTCACAATACATAAGCTATCAGTGGGGAGGAGACCGGAGTGATGAAGCAAGTTCATACATGAGGATTATTAGGAGGCCATGATTGGTAAAGGACAGGGGGAAATTTATTCATTCCTACTCTTTTCAAGAAAGACCCTGGGATTTTTAATGACCACAGAGAGTCAGGACCTCGGTTTTACATCTCATCTGAAGCACGGCGCCTTTTTACAGTATAGTGTCCCCATCACTATAGTGAGGCATTAGAACCCACACAGACTGCAGGGAAAGCACTCCCTACTTGTTCCACTAACACCTCTTCTAGCAGCAACCCTAGTTTTTCCCAGGAGTTTCCCATCCAGGTACTGACCAGGCTTGCACCTGATTAGAATCAGTGGGTTGCCAGTTGTGAACTGCAGGGTGATATACTGTAGCTGCTGCTACTTTTAGATTCATTTTGTTTGAACGTCAACTTGAGCAGGAACGTTATTTGTAATGTATGTATGGAATTCCAAAATGTATAAGGTTCCACATAAACTTTTTAGATGTTCTTGGACGTTATTCACACACACAGCACACTGTCCATTTCAGGGTTATTCAGAGTATAGCTCAGTATCCCCATGGTGAGTCAAGGCTTTGAAAAATGGCTTATAGCCCCTTGTGAGACACTGGACATATTGAAACATAAAATGGTACAGTATGTTGTTTTTGTAGATCGGTTTCAATATCATTTTTCATACACACTGACTAGATAGACAAACATTTCTAGGTTATTAGATTGGGTAGGGAATCAATTTGACCAAACCATGATTCTGCTCTTCTGTAGCAACGTTTCCAACCAAAGCTGATCATTAGTATTAAAATCTGCAATACCATCCATTATCAGAATGTTTATTCTGAACTTATTAGAACATGCAAATGCCACATAGAAGGAAACCCAGTCCAGAACTAAGTCCAAAACCGAAGCATTGTTGTGTGCCACACGACCACGCACTCTGTATTAATTACTTTACATTGCAGGGTGAGGTTTCAAGAAATGGTCAGGTTTTGATCAAATGTAAATAATTTACTACCGGTGGATTGCTATGAAAATAATAATCTCCTCTTTTTATCCCTTTTTAATTACATTAGGATTGTGGTTTATGGTGATGACATGCTGGATGCTATTGTCCCATATTCAGCCAAACCATTCAACTTCCAAGAAGAGTTTCAACTGACTGACGAAATGGTAGGGATCTTTGTAAGACTTTCAGCGAATAACATAACATAATGGAGTATTGGCACAATGCTTGAAAGGGCAGCAGATGAAGAAATGTCTGATCTGTGGTGAAATTGGTGATAAATAAACTAAGAAATAATAAACCTGAAATCCTGCCTTTGTTACCTTATAGCCTCATATCCTCTCTTTAGATTCTCTGCTGACCTTGAAAACAAACTTTATAAAGAAACTGTGTCAGCTTCGGATTGGTTAGTTAAGTAATAAACAACAGATTTGTTTTTAATACATACTTATAAAACATCAAATGCATAACATAAATTGCAGGTTAAAAAAACATCACCTGAAACACTATTTTCTTTCAGACTCTGAAAGTGAGTGATCACTATCCTGTGGAAGTTGAATTGAAGGCTACAAATTCGCAAGATCGCAGGCCAGGGAATAAAAGACCCAAACGAACTCCTCAGACTCAACCTGCAGCTCACCCGAGGGCTGGGAAAAAGCCCAGACAAAAATAGAAATATGCTCTCTGGCCAAAATATCAGGAACCTCCGTGGAAAATGGAGCCTATACTGGGCTTTACTGAGTAATGATTATGATGAAATGTGATTTTTTATTTGCTTGGCCATTTTCAGATTGTCAAAAACGTTAAGCTCTTATGTAATATTACTTACAAAATGTGGTGCCATGAAATAAATTAGAATATTTGCCAAATAAGGAGAAACATAAGAAAGGCCATTGTTTGACTTTGATATCATCATCCACTGGCAAGCTTTTGTCTGTAATTCAGTAAAGTCACTTTTGTTTCTCCTTTAATTTCATGGCAGCTGCAGTAATATTCAAACAAGTGCATGCCTTCATTTCCAATGTTTTTTTTTGTTCCTAATGACATAATTTACATAAATATCGATTTATGTTTAAATTTGTGAACATATTATTACAGTGGTTGACAAGCCAAAAAGTTTAAATATATTAAAATGGACGTTTAAATCTGCACCTATTTAGAAATGAAAAAAAATCTGTATGTCATTTCTGAGTATGAAACTATTAAAAACAACACAGATCCAAAAAGTACATGTACGAATTTAATTTTATCACAAGCCAACAAAACAACATAATTCCATATAATGATACTTCATGTATAGTATTATTGTTAAATCTGTAGTTCTTGCTCTGCGATTTTTATAGTGTACTGTATTACACAATGCTCTCGGGCTGTGTTTGCCAATTGAACCCAGTAACTGATCTAGAACCAGCCTTCCAACAGACATTTGTGTCATATTTGCATAAAGACAACTATAACAGGAAGACAATAGAAAAGAGTAGTAACAGGTAAAATAAAGAATACAAAAATCACACAAACAGGTGCAAACATGAAAGAACATTGCACACAACATTGCTTAAATGTTTCCACATGTATGGGTATTTCACATTTGGCTACAAATATACAAGCCCAGAACCCAAGTCTAGACCATTCGCCTATTAGTGATTAGTAAATTATACTGTAAGTCCTATCAATTATATAAAAGACAAGCCCCTGAATGTTTGGTTTCTATATTTATAAGCTTTTAAAGTTTGATGGTGTGTCTCTATCCAACAGTCATTAAATCATTTGAATAAGAGCAAAGGGCATTGTAAAATGTTCAAATGCCTTTGAGTGTAAGTTTTAAACTTTCAGGGAGTGTGTGTGATTTACATGATCAGAACGTAAGAAAGGTTTGGTGCCAAAAGTGCTGTTGAATAGTTGAAAATACAAACGTTCTCCAGATACAGTGATTTCTTTGCTGTCTATGCTAATGGGTGGGTGACTTATTTCGACTGGTATGGCTTAAGCAGAAAAAAATTACCAGCTGTTCAACCTGACAACTCACCTTTTGCTGTTTCTATCCAAGCGACTTGAAACCAGAACAAACTGAAGAACACTTAATGGAACTGCAGTTAATTCTTTGTCAGCTGAAATTATTTGAATTTCATATTTTTTATGTAATAGCAATCTGAGCCTAGCAACAACAGATGATAATGTATTTACTGTACATTCCATAAAACCTCATAAATCAAAAGGTAGTTGAAAGCATATGGAGTTGGTAGCTTAAAATTGAGTTTTTGTCAAAAAGATTACTTTGAAAGCATTGCCTGAAAGCAAAGCAATAACAGTAACAGTTAATACATTAATTTACTTGCACTGTGGAGAAGCTGGTTGTGATGAAAACCATCAAATGGAGAGTTTGAAATCGGAGCATCCAGTTTTTCCAGCTTTAGTCTTTGTTAAATACTTTAAAGACCAGCAAAGCTTTATGGACTGCAGTTGTAGCATGAACTGCATGGTGTGTTCCTATTTAGCTCGACACCAGCACAGAAAGAAAAAAAGACCAACTCCAATCAGAGTCACAATCACAGCACCAGCAATCACTCCAGCGTAGCTTTCTGTGATATAGAAAACAAATTAGATTAGGCTGAGAAATGGGAGTTTTGACAAGCAACCTAAACCACCTGCAGTCACACTTGCCCTCCCAGATGAGGAAACAGTGATCTCCTGTTCCAGCTGAATGAAAACACTGTTGGAACAGGAGACCAAAGTGTCTTCACCAGTATCTTCCAGTGGTCTCGGTCATTTTAACAGATGTTGAGCAATTCGTGATTTAACTGGCCTTGTACAATATGCAGGATTCTACCCCTTAAAGGGGACCACCTGCAAGGCTATTTTTATTTTGGCCCTAGCAAGAATCAAAAGTGCATTTCAAGCTACGGTTAAAGAAGATTGAGTGCAATAACTGCAATAACCCCCAATTTTCATCACAAAATACATTCAATTTGTGCAAAGTCGCACAAAAATCACAAGTCGCGCGAACTCCCACTCTCGCCCCGTGGGGAACCAGGGGTTTGCAATGACATGGCGACTTACAGTACATGATTTTATGTTTAATTCAAAATTTGTAAAATTTTTCTAGGACGTCAATGAATTTATTTGTTTGCTGATACTTAATAAGCTTAATAAGAGAAATTGGGACAACAGTTCCATTTTAAGAAGTGGAACCTATGGAATTCTGCTATTTGTAATTAAATGTACTTACTTCCAGTGGTGATTTTCAGAGTCTCTCCAGAAGAATATATATTTTTAGAGAAGCCATAAAACTCAGCTTCACAAGTATACTCTCTGGGTGCAGTCAAGGGATCCAGATTGAAGTAGGCAGGCTCCCCAGAAGTTACCCGCTTTGTACCAACCTTCCTTAAAGTGTCCAACTCTCTGGCAATGATCAGAATCTGAAAGATAATGGGTTAGAATTATCAAAACATTCTGTGTATGTAGGGGTTACAGAATCGTTGAATTGCTTAGTATGTCTCTTCTTATACTCAGGGGTAAGGGGAAAACAGAACTTTATGGAGCTAAGCAAGTTTATAGTTCCCACTTGTAGTTGCTGAACCTTTGATAAAAGCTACTTTGTGATTTTTGTTTGACTTTTAGAGTCTAGATCCAGATATTAATATCTGGTAACTAACTTACCTTCCCAGTATTCTGTCTCATGCCTTTGCTATTTGCTATCATTACTTGCTGTGCTCTTTCCAAGTTGCTCTGTTTCTGTCATCTGATAACTTGGACTGCTGATAACTTTGAAAGACTATCACGATTTGTTCAAGATCCTGGTCAATCTATATTTTTATTCAAGTAGCAATTTACTGTTTGTCCCACTAAATTCTTCATGAACATCTGTGTTAAAGTATTTTTTATTTATTTGAATTATTTTCCTCCTGCCTGACCAGTGATACGTAGTTATATTAAAAGCAGTACATGTATATCTTCCTTCAGGAGTGTTTATATGTAGCCTTTTCTGAGTTAATTCAGTGCCAACTCATATTAGTTAAACTGACACGTCTCTTTATGCAACATCCCAACCATTCTTGTACGGAAAGGGGCTCACATTGTACTAAGCAATATACAGTAATACATACAGTATAATGCAACACAATGGAAAAAAATGTGTTTTTCCATAAAATGAATTCAAAATGTATTTTACCGGCCTGTTTTCCAGCCAAGGTGCTGTCAATGTACAGGATATTTCAGGTGCACTTCCTTCATAAAGAAATACCTCTTTGATGGCTCCATATCCACTGAGGGAGATTACTGGAGGAGGAAGGAAATCTAGGAAAAGGAGGGAAGCAAGACTTTGTGTTCAAACTAAAACAAAAAATGCCTCCTAGTTTATTAGATAATTTTCTTGTGAAAGTTTGTGATATGATCTTAAGCTTCACGGTTAGCCATGAGCTTTCTTTTAACTTAACGGTCCTCTGAAAAAAATCCCTCACTAGAGTTATAACTGCTTGTATCTTTTTTCTTCTTTTTATTACAATTTTTTAATTGAAAGAATTGTCAAAGAAAAATGTTGGTTTTTTTTTGCCTTTATGGCCTTTGATTTAGAATCACCAGCTGTTAAGCACTATAACTCTGCCCACAACTACAATCCTTGTTCTAGCGTGGCCGGAATGAAAATGATTAAAAAAGAGACCAAATTTAATAAATCCCACAGTGGAGATACAATAGCATCATTTAAATGAATAATGCTGCTGTCACTGATAAAGGCAAGCAGATTGGGTAACTGCTTATCCATGAAATGATCCATAAAAGCATACTAAAGCCACCTGCAGCCTATCCTGTCTCACTTCTGCCAGTTGTGCCCTACACTTTGAAGCAGCTGCAATTTAAAAAACGCAGCACCTGTCATTACAGAGCTCAATCAGAGTCCAAAAGAAGATTTTTAGGTGTTGATAAATATTGTTCTATTGATAAATACTATTAATTGGCTTTACAACTCAGAATCTCTGAAATCCGACTAATGTGTTACTCAGAAAGAATGTTGCGTAGATCAGACTATTTTATTTTATGGGGTTGGTTACCTTTGCAAATGATTGCCAGTTTTTCAAATTCATAGCAGGTAGCATAGATGTGTCCAACATTGCAGTCCCTCAGTCGTCTCTCACTGCCACTGCAGGTCACATCTCCCAAGAAAGGAGAGCCCTTATTCCACTCGATATCTGAGCTCTCTATAAAGAGCACGTTTCCGTAATTTCCACAACCCATCTCCCTGCAGACAATATCGGCAAGCTTAGATTCATAATCCCTTTTTCCCCGGCAAACAGAATTCCAATTGCCTCTAGCATACACCTCCAGTCTTCCGCCACAGGTGGTGCCAGGAAACAGTGAAACAAGACGCACAGGTGCCTCTTCTAGTGAAGACAAGAGAAGTGCACAAATGTAGTTATTAGGACTTCATTCTACAATAACAACCCATTCAGCCCATTGCAAGGGTAGCTGAGGAGGTGAAGCCATCAGGCACATTTTGTTAGTTCGGTAGTTTAGTTTTTATGCGAATATAGAATATATAATATAGAACAGTTCAGTGGTTTTAGCTCATCTTGACCTCTTTTTAGACCAAAGAAATGAAAGATTTACCTCTCTTAACCTGTCCACAAATGACAATCCCTTGAGACAAGGATTGTTCTTTCTGTACTTTGAACTCTAAGTCTATAATATTGTTTTTGTGGTAAGATGACCAAAATTGAACAGAATATTCTAAATGATACGACAGCTTTGTAAAACTTGAGCTTAATTTTCTTTGATTTAAATACTTCTGGCTATAAACACCAGCTATTTACTTTTGATTGTTTCCCTACCTTGTCTGGGTGAGGACAGAGAGGAAACTATATAAAGTACCCTGATCCCTCTTGTTCATCATTTTCTGCTGCTCAGAATGACCCCTTTGATATGGATAGTTTATGTACCACAAACACCCTGTGTGGATCACTTTGTGCTTATCAAAGCTCAATCCATTAGTTTGTCAAACTCTTTTTGTTGTTTGTTGCTGTTTATCCCTTGTTTTTGCATCATCTGCAAATTTAATTAGATTACTAACTATACCAGGATCTAGATTGTTGTTATACATCAGGAAGAACAACAGGGTTTTCTATGCATTCATTGTGCAATAACATTAATGCAATTGGACACGGTAGAGAAGAAAACACAGTGAACAAGCTGAACGGTTACTGTGCAATACTGACCCACAAACACGTCTACAGGATAAGAGTTCTTTGACCTCAATAGGCGATTATTATAGTACACTTCCATGCTGCAGGAAAAGCGTCCATTGAGATCCGAAGTAACATCGGTCTTCTTGTACTCAATTGCCTTGTGGCTGTCAGGAAGAGTCAGTGAACCAATCAAGCTGAGGGACTCGTTGCCCGTTGTAGGATCCTTTTCATGTCTAAAGAGACTGAGGGTTATATTAGAGAGCTCATTGGGTGCTTCACAAAAAATGGTGAAATTCCTTCCTGTGGGAATGAAGATGGGGACCAAGGAGATAGCAGGTGGAGAAAGTGAAGCTGAATGGAAAACAAAAAACGAAACAACATAAGTGATTATGGACCATTGGAAAACCAATTCTCTGGGCTCAGGTCCTCTACATACTGTACTGTATGAATTAAGTCAGTCCCTCAAGAAAATTAAGAGAGACATGTTACTGCAAAACATTCCAAAACGACTTTGCAAAACATGTTTAAAGAGCTAAGTGTTTTTACTTGTCTCTAATTAATACTGTATATCAGGGAATCGTTATGCTAATTGACAGATTTAGCATTTACAGTTTAGTGACGCTATTTACCATGTTCTGCGTGTCATTTGAAAGTGCGAGGAAACCACAGTACCCAGTGATCCAGTGCCACAATTCCACTTCTGTATCTTTTGAAAGATAAACTAGCGTTCACACCAGAAAAACTTACAAATTGTTAGGTTGATGGGCGCGCTGAAGTTCGATGCCTCGGGGCGTGTACTTTTGTTATACCAGCAGGTGTAGAGACCCTCATTTTCTGCGATTGCCTTCACAGTGAATGAAACAGAGGACGAATACGAATTTGGATTAGAAGAGACCGCTTCAGAAGGCTTGATGCCCCTACCCAAGAACGTCATGACCGGGTAGGGGGCTCCATTTGGGATGAGGCACTTCAAAGTCACATCTGAGAGCAGTCTGACGTCTTTCTCATCACTTGCGTATCGAAATGAAAGCGACGGAGCTTCTAGACGTGCTGTGAACAACAACAACCGAGAGAAGAGAGGCTGACTGGGAGTGCTTTGAACCACAGGCTTAATTAAGGAAAATGCAGAGACCTGTTATAGCTAAATTTAATTATCTTTGATTAAAATTAATTTTCGTTTATTTTTGATTGCATACAAAATGCCTTTTTGTTAAAGAGACCATTGGATTTTATTCTTTTGGCATATGGGTAGCGAAAATACCGAAACCAAATCTCAGGCGTTATTATGTTAATATTTCTTCATTTTTAGCAACGTTGAGCAGCGTCACGTACAGTATGAATGGAAAGGCATTTTTTTGCTTAGCGTTCATAATTATAAAGACTCTTGCACAACTGTTGGAATTTACAGAAAAACACATTTAAGCTAGCAGAAGTGAGGTAGTTTAGCGGAACCCATATTTTATGTCAGCTAGATAGTAAATATTACATTTTCATATATGTTTAAATTGTTTTTTTTTGTGTGATATTTTCATGATGCTAACTAACTGTTAGTAACCAAGCTTAAATGGCAAAACCTTTTAAGGCTCCTAAAAGGTCTGAATTTCTGTTTAGGCCCCATTTTCTACTGAATGTAGAGGTTCCCAAAAAGTACAGGTGAAATTAAAGAACGAACCAACGGTGCAAATGACACAACACCAAGGAACACAGATTGCATATTCTTCTTGACACACTGTCATAGAATTGCATAATATATCATGCACATTGAACAACTGAAAAGCAAGGAAGAAAATCCTGAACTTCATTGACATTTTCAGAATTAAGGAGTACACTGGCACAATATTTGTTCATTTCATGACAAAGATTTCATATGGAGATCTTGAACTGGAACTGAAATTTCATAAAGGGAAAATTCTTGTAATTTATCAAACACTGTCCAGCTATATCATATTTTTTTTCATCTTGTTTAGGTCAGACACATATTCTTGTATGATTGTTAGCATTTTACTATGTATTTCAGGTTTCTCCTATTTGTATCCACCTATGCAGAGGGACAAACTGAACACACTCACCACTGGTGAACAGCACCGTAGCTTCTTCCACAGCCAGAAGCACTATAAACACTGGTTGGAGACAGAGAGAAGTCTGGTTTATTTTTATTTGCATTACTTTCTTCACATTAGGGGAACTAGAGGCTTGCTAAGCTCGGTGAATCTGACTTTACCAACAATAGATTGTGAAATCAGATATTACATTGCCGCGGCTTTTATTGCTGTAACCTCTGTTGTCATCCCATTTTGCTCTGAAAAAGAAATGGATGTATGTTCTACTAGATAATACTAATTAAACTAGTTAATTTCTCACACTTTGTATTAAATGTACATTTTTTATATTATCATGTATACATTTTCCCCAGATATACAGTTATTCCAAATGTTTTGTAAAAACATGTTTAGAAATAACGTGGCACAATGAAGCAGTGGTTAGCATTACTGCTTTGTAGTGCTGGGGTCCTGGGTTCAATTCCAGCTCAGTTCTTGGGTGCTCTGTGTGGAGTTTGTATGTGTACACAGGGTTTCCTTTGGGTGCTCCCAAAGTCCAAAAACCTATTAGTAGATTAACTGGCTTCTAGTACGACTGGCCCTGGTGTGAGTGTCTGGTAGAGCCTATTCCAGCAAGCAATGGGCACAAGGCAAGATACACCCTGCCAGTCCATTGCAGGGCACATATGAACACACAATCACACCAGGGCTAATGTTCCCAGAAGCCACTTAACCCACTAGTATGATTTTGGACTGTGGGAAGAAACCAGAGCACCCATGAGAACATGGGCAGAAATATAAACTCCACACACATAGTACCCCAAGTCCAGAATTGAACCCAGGGCCCCAGTGCTGCAAGGGAGTAATGTTAACCACTGCGCCACTGTGCTGCTCGTCTTGTAAAAACAAAAATCTATATTTTGAAATAGAAAACATGAGTTAGTTTGATGTGCGCAAAGTTTAGTGTACACAGAAAAATAAACAGTAAATCTTTTGCTTTCAAAATTCATGTATAGTGTATATATAGTATGTAAATATTTTTTTTTTCTCCACAAAATATATACTGGTATAGACTGTGACTTGCAACACTCTTGCTTCAAACTCTGAAAGCTTACAGATGTGACAGAATGCCCTACTAAATAAATTATTCTCCAAGTTGTTCCAGCAAGTTGCAATAATCAAACAGACAAACAGGCATCAATTTAACATACAGGGTTCCCATTCTGTCTATGCCTTCATACAAGGAAACACCATAATATATTATGTATTCCCTGCAGAATATGTTCAATCAATAGCTTTAATAGTCCAGGGTGTTCCGTTACTTAGAACATAATAGATTGAATAGCAGATTCCTGTAATCACATTTTTGATGCTAGTGAATAATTTTGTAATTTTGTGTTTTTTTAAGAATACCTTCTTAGGTGCTACATAGGATAATTTTACTTGACCTTAATGACATTCTTCTAAAAGATGAAAAAGTTACATTGATTTTTTTTTCTAATGATTATAAACCTAATGCTTATCCTAACCATGAGCCTGACCCTAAATCTAACTCTATGACTTTCTGCAACATGAACTTTGGCAAATGTTATCAACACTTACTGTATGTACCTGCCACATCTTTTGGAGTGATAACCGTATAAAAACTTTAGAATAGCTGCAAACAAGAGTAGGTCATTTTTCCCATCCAGGACGTTTGCTTGCTAGTATCTAAATGATCCAAGAATCTGATCCATTGTTTTCTGTAGCTTGTTCCAGATTTCCTCAGGAGTTATAAATGTTGTGATATTGTCATGTGCAGCCTATATCAAGATCAAGCTCCATTAAAAAAAAAAAGATTTTTAAAGATTTGTAATCTGTAGTTTATAAAATAATCTCAAAAATCCTCTTCAATATTAATTATTATATCGTTTTTCCAAACTTCCTCTTTTATAAATGTTTTATGCAGCCTTTATGAGGGTGTAATGCACAACTGTATTTAAATGAAGTGTAACCATATAAATATTAGTGATATTTCACCTAAGAAAATACATGATTAGTCTTGATATTACAATTCCTCTGTTTAATATTATAAAATAGCAGATAGAAATCTTAGTTTAACAAAAGTATTTTGTAGAAATATTTGGATTACACAGAGCTTTATTAAAAACTTTGTAAGCTTACCATTTCTCAGATTTATATGAGAGACCATTTCTTCTGAAAATTGTTCTGGAGATTAACTTCACCACTCGCAGAAATGTACTCTGTCTCTTCTGAGGGAAAATGTAGACTTTGTAAACTCATGAAAAGAGATAAACTGGTACAAATATGATGAAATGTTCCTGGTTCCATAGTTGCAACAATCAACATTTTGTAATATTCTTTCTTAACCCTTCATCTGAGGCAATTTTAGGAAACAGGAAGGCTTATTTCTCTCTTCCAAAACCAACATATATTGAAAGGGAATAAATGTACAACTGGATCAATTAAATTATTTGTTTGTTGCCAGTCATTCATCATTCATTTGTAGTTGTCAAATGCTATCATTTATAATCACAACTAGATTCCCTGAATGTCCTTCTCTCATTTGTAAACTTTCTTAACTGTATGTTGAAGAGAGACCATTCTTTCTGATCGTATCTGTTCTCTGTGTTGATAAAAATACATTTTTTGGTGTATTTAGAAAATGATTTGAAGTGTTCCTTTCTGTTTATTTTCTGTCTTTTTATGTTCAAATGTTTTCTGTCACTAATACTGATGCTAATGGGATGTGTGGTGAGCGTTCTGGCGCACTATGGCTGCTGTCGCATCATCCAGGTGGGGCTGCACATTGGTGATGGTGGAGGGAAGTCTCCATTACCTTTAAAGCGCTTTGAGTGGTGAGTCCAGAAAAGCACTAGATAACTGTAAAGCAATTATTATTAATAATACTGGGTGCCAGTGCAAATGAGTGTAGTGCTGAATGATGTTAACGTCTCTTCTTTAAAATGAGACAGTGGTTTTGTGATGATTATTGCATAATGATAAAATTCTATATTCTTCAGTAATTTACCATCTGATGACATAAAATCTTCATTCGGATATGTAATATATGGATAAGATAAACAGTGAGCTTTATTATTTTTTGAATGTCTTATCTTTCTGACAGGATTAATAACTGAACTGCACTGAAAACTATGCTTTTTGATGAAAGGTGAGATGAACTAATGCAAAAGTGTAGCTTCTATGTCTTCTCTGTCTGACTGAGACCAGTAAACATCATACTCTTTGCCAGGAGGTCCCATCCCTGTTAGACACCCACTGTTTTTTCCAGCTGATCTCTTTCTATAATTCAATACTTAAACAAATAAGTTACTCCATAAGAACCTTTGTACGTTTTTTTTCCCCAAAACTGGAATTATGAAACACAATAGCTGAAAAAAGAGTTCAAACTATTCCAATAATCAGATTAAGGGCTCAATTATGTAACTAGAATTTAACTGGAATTAAAATCAGAAGTTATGTAGGCACTCATTGACTGGGGTTGGGAACCCCTGCTCTACAGTATGTGTAGCTGAGTGATATATGATTGCTATCGCTGGTTTTGTTATTAAGTGGATTATAATACAAATACAAAAATGAACAGTAAAGAGCCAGTCAGACTACAGGGATTCTTTAATATTAATTTATGTTATGATAGTTACATGAAATTATGCAGAACCTGTTAATGATATTAATTCACTGATACTGATATATGTATATAGTCATCCACAACATATTCAGTTAGAAATAACACATTATGCCATGCTTATGTCACTTGGAGGATATCTAAAGTTCTGATCCTTTGGAATTCACTGGAACAATTTTTCCAGTGAATTTCTCACTGCCTTCAAATTTTGCTATTAGCTATGTTGCTGTTTCACTTGGATTGTCAGGGTCGAAGGTCATGATTTCCATGTGGATGAGACCTGGAAAAGAAACACAAAGATTATTTCACAGGTGTCTTTACTGCATAGAATTCATATAATCTTATTTCATTGTTACACATTGCACTGGGTTAAACTTGTATTCTTAAACTAGAAAAATTGAATAAGAGACAAAATGGTGAAGTGAGAGCCTTTCAATGATAATTAATGCATTGAAAATGTTACATCAAAAACTTAAAAAATTGGAATATAAGTGGTATTTCCAGCTTCAATATTTAAGATCATGTGTGCATGCTATTCTATGCTGTACACTCAGTCAAGTACGTCTGAGGAAACTCACCAGAGAGCCCAAGTGGCTCCAACACATGGTATATTATATACAGTACAAAAATAATGCAAGGTAACATGTAGTGCTGAAGCAAAGCCAAAGCCAATAATAAACTAGAGCTGATAACATGCCCCCTACATTTGGACATTACATACAGAGCTTTTTAACACTGTTTAAGTGACATCACCAAGTTCAATTTTCCCCATCTTAGGCCATCAGAAAATGTGTCTTTTCCAGTGTAGAGTGTAAGAGGTGTTATGCAGAGAAAACAAATATGAAATATAGCCCTTGCTGAGAGTAAGAAAATATCAGGAAAGCAGAAGCCCTGCACTAAAAAAGTTGAATAAAATCTCTTAAAGGAGGCGATATAATTTAGTAGCCATGCTTTTGGGAGATACACAAATGCCTAACATAGATTTGAAAGTTCAGCCTCAAAACGAAAACGAAGGAATGATCTGAAAAGTAATATTTTGCTGTATTGCCACAGTTGCATAATTAGATGATAAGCACAGTATGATGTGATTTCCTTTTTAGCTTTGTGCCTTGCTTTCAAATGCCGAGATCTGTTAAGCTCTTGGCGCCCTGTGCAGCTTGTGCCAGAGAACCAGGTCTGAGATTGCTGATGCTCACTCTTCCACTCCCCCACATCCAGCTCCAGGCTCTCGAAGGAGTCGTCATAGGGCGGGGCTTCAGGCTCGCTCTCGGGATCGCAGAACTCTGCCAGATAGGGGTGAGAGAGAGCTTCCTTGGCAGTCACCCTCCTGTCAGGGTCCAGGAGCAGCATCTTCTCCAAAAGGTCCACCACTGAGAAAAGAGTGATGAAAGAAAAGGCCTGTAAGACACCTTTTCTGAAGGGCCACTCGGTCTTACTTATCCGACTTGATTATTTGGACAAAACTGTAACGGGGAACTGCTGTCCCAATTTCTCAGACCGGTATTTAAATGTAAGTAACAAAATAAATTCGCTGACGTTCTGGAAAAATGTAACGAATTCCGAATTAAACACAAAAATCGGGAACTTTGTGAAAGTACTGCAATTCGCCAAGTTGTCGCAAATCCCTGTTCTCACCAGGGGCGAGAGCAAGAGTTTGTGCAAATTGCGACTTGAAGAGGTCCTTCCTGCTCGCTAGCCACTGCAATGACTGATATAAAGGCACATTTCACAGCAGAATTGTTCCAGTGATCTGCAAGCAGGGTAAACGTAGTATTTGTCGGCAAAACTGTCTCGGAGTCGAGAGCAATAGTTCTATTGGATTAAAAGTGATGTATTCACAAGCCTGCTTGTTTACAATGCAATAGGGTAACATATAAGGTCACCATAAGTCGTGTTGCCTTGTTCTGAATTGTACAAAATGTCACTGCTCATACCTGGAATTGTTGTTTATTTTGTGATGTAAATTAAAGGTTTTACACATTATATTTTACTTTTATTGTGGTTTGAAACGCCCTCATCAATGCTGATTTTTTCTATCCTGAAATATAAAAACAGCACTGCAGTTCCCCTTTAAGTTGGAATCTGAGAACTCAGTTTGAGCTCTTTGTTCCAGATCTGCCTCTCTTTGCTTTTTCGTGGAATCAAAGTACAGTACGAACACGTTTTTACCAGTGCAGAATGTGGGAAAGCCTGGACCTGAGAGTCACAGCCCAGCGTGCCATCCAGCTCACCCTCAGATCAATTTCTAAACGCACAAGCAAGTTCTGATCAATGTAGTAACTTGAAAGGCTCAGTTAAGTCAGATATGTTGAACTGAGGTTTCTTAGGAGCAATCCACTGTGGGTAATTTCATTTCAAATGACTGCCAAAACAAAAATTGGTGGAAATGTTTAAAAAATGTATTTAGGTGTGACACACGTTCCTGCTGGATTGGGTCTCTCCAGGACCAGGTCCAGTGTTACGATATCCAGCCCTTTTTGAAACACAAAGATGGGGGAAAGAACAGACTTAAATACAAAATGGCACAGATCATGGTCTGTCAATCCCATCGATCCCTTGTTTTGTGCTTCCCATCAGTGAAATAAACTACCTTTCCTGTCCATGTGTGGAAATACGGCTCTGAAGTTCCTCTTCTCTTGGTGTGGCAGAGACTGGACATAGCGTCTAGCCTGTGGAAACCAAAATGATGGAAATCTTGTTCTGTGTTGCTGTTTCAGGGGTTAGTAATTGCACTCTATTAACGTTACAAATGTTGCCGGCTTCTAAAAACAATAAAAATAAAAAAAGAATTTAAAACTTAATCGAAATACTTAATAAGAGTTTTCTTCTAAACATCTTTATGAGCTACAATTAAAAGAACAGTTTTCACACAAACAGTGCTTATCATATAGCGTATCTGCAGCAGAACCATTTTTGGGTAGTAATATATTAGGAAAAAAATTACTATATGGGGACTTTGTTAAAAAAATACGGCAATGCTAAAAGGAAATGAATTATCAGGTGAAGGAAGTCCTGAGTTCTCCTTTAATTCGAATGAATGAAAATGAATTATGAGTTAACACAAAGACAAGTACATCTTTACTCTGCATCTTCTCCACAAGGGATGGGTGAGGTGATCCTGTCAGGTTCAAAATTCTTTTTAGCTGGTCAATGTCTGATCTGAGAATTAAGGAGGAACATCACTGGTGGTGAAACACAAAGTTCTTTTCTTATTTTATGCAAGGGCTAGGTAATTACAAAAGATCTTAGGGCTACCATGTGTAAGATATGTTTAACCTCTAAGGTAAAGGATATACCAAAGATCTGAAGTAGTTCTGCCTCCACTCCAATCATATTGTTAGCTTTATTATTTGTACAAATTGATTCAATTTTAGACCTAAACCGCAATACAGAACCTGCTTTACACGGAGGCAATCACTGGGCCTTGGACTCCCACAGAGTTATTTTGTCCCTTTGGTGGTTTTTGATTTTTCATCCTCTGTGAATTATGTTCTATTTTACTATACCTGTACATAAAACATCTAAAGTACTGTACATATTTCTCTTAAGTGCTTGGGGGCAATCTGTTATGAAGGTTCGTATAAGAAATAAAGATTGATTGCCTGTACCTAATGTCAGTCATGTCCCTTACTTTAACATATTACTTTGTATTAAATATTTAAATCTGTTACCTTGCTATGTGCTGAATCCTCAGGCTTCTTAAGCTTTTGTATTCTGCACTTTGTGTGTGTGGGACTTCCTCTGTTCACTCTGCCTAAAATCCTCGACCAGGCCTTTATCCCTCTTAACCTGGTAGGTTAAAGCCACTTTTCAATAAATGTGACAGAGAGAAAAGGGAATATAGAGAAGTGCTTTCAGCTATCTGCAGGATCTCCCAGTTAGCCATCTTGTGCCGGGGAAAGACAGACAAGAGTCCAGAGAATGCAGACAGCATAGAGGTCTTAAAATGTAATTACTTTAAATAAAGGATACAATCATTTCCGGGAAAAAGGACCTCTCCAGTAATCATTTCAGCTAGAATGCACCCAACCGACCAGATATCAACTGTAGGGGAGACCCAAGGTGAACACTGAAAAGGAGCTCTGATCAAGGTTAAGTGCAAGGATTTTTTTTTTGTTTTCAGCTCTTATTTTTTGTGTTAAGGATTCATTGAGGGTAAAATAGACTATTCAACTTCAGATGGCACAGATAACCCGAAAGGAACTGTTCTCCTATTGACTGCTTTTATGATCTGAAGCTCCCCTGCACCCCCACAATAGAAAAGATCAGTCATGAAAGGATTGGAATTTCCCACTTTACTACTAAAACGTTCTCTTGCTTTACTGTCTGCATTGCAATCAGCTCTTCTTCCCACACAGGGTAAGGCTACCTGTGTCCACCACATTTCTGTCTCCAGGCTTTGTTGTAGAAGTGGAAGTAACACTGTCCACTTTTATGGTGGTATTTCTTGACTCTATTTAAGTTTCAAAGCAGAAGCAACAGTTTTTTTTATGTCACACTAATGGATTTTAGAATAAAAATGAATTCGTGTTGGAATAAAAAGGTCATAAAAAGTAAAGCTGCTCCATCTTGCTAAGGATAGCACAGCCTGCAACCCCTAAACCATTACTGAAAAAATAATTATCCACTCTAAGCAAAATCTGTAAAAAGTACATTGGAAAATTAAGGTAATACTCACCAGTTTGGCTGTAGTGCATCCAACTAAGAACAACCTCTGGAGCTCGGTACCAGCGAGTCACCACATACCCTGTCATCTCACTCTCTGTATGGCGCGCCAGGCCAAAATCTAAAATCTGTACCAAGGAGGATGGGAGAAGAACCATCTTGAGGTCAGACTGTATGTATGCATTTTGTTTCTCACTCTCTCTACTTGAAACCTGAAAAATCCATCATAAACTGTCAAAGGGAAAATCATTACCTTCAACTCACAGTTCTCATTCACAGCCAGGTTACTGGGTTTGAGATCCTACAACGAGAAACATTGAGCAAGTAAAGCAATTTTTTGAGAGGAGGCACATCTTCTCAAAATGTAGCCTTCTTCCAGTTACATTTGAGTAATGCAACATTGAAGAGGTCTATCACAACAATACTTGCAATAAGGCTTTCATTAACAGTGAGGTTTAACCCTCAATTTTAATTATCCTGATGGCTCATAAATGTTATCACTTTTGTATCAGTTTTCATGTGGGCTGTAACATCCCATCTCTTCTGCAAAACAGCGAGACATTGTTCGCAGTTTTTTAAAGATTAAACATTTTTTATTTCTTTTGTCTTAGTGTTCCAAATATGAAGCAGCTAAATTAGACATTAATGAAAAAACTCTTCTTGGTAAACTTATCACAATCACATATCTGACTAGACGACAGTATACAGTATGTGTCTAAACTTCTCCCTGCTGTGCTTAAAGTGATAGGGAATTTATTAGTTTCACTTCTAAAGTGTGATTTACAGTACATGTACCATATATAGACACATTAAATGTACAGCAGACATATACAGTGAAGTGCTACATCTATAGTCTGAAAAAATACATTTTTATGTGATGAATCAGATCATTACCAACTAGCAATAGCAAAATGTTAGGTTAAACTGCCTTAATGCACAGGAAGTCAACTCCAGAATTCTGTAACTGGGCAGAAAAATACCAAATGTGATATGGCTAAAAAGTAAAAAATACATCTAAAGACTACTTACAGTATATGCAACATAGTACAAGCTTATAATCACCTGATTTAGAGATCAGAGCTCCAGTGGTAGCATTCTGTGCATTACAATAAGATCATGTTTTAACATTTGTAAAGGATTCACTATTTTTTTTTACTTTCCAAAAACAGAATGTAAAACTAAGGTATCTCTTCAAAGTAGAGTAAACAGACTCTCATATTACTAAATCCATGGTGTCTAGTGCAATTAAAAGTTATGGAATCAATCTATCCCAAACAGCGTATGAAACCAAAATGATAAAAAAACACTTACCCTGTGCACAATCCCAGCAGAATGAATGTACTGCAAAATATGAAGAGAAAACATCAAACAGACAAAAAGAGACATGTCTATTTCTTCATAGTCTGTATAAGCTTTTAAAATCGTTTTGCAAAATTAATTAATTTTTCCAATGAAACACCTTATTCATACACTACCCAAACAAAGTACTTTTTCTAACCCGGCTCAAGAAACCAATTTCTTTGGAAAATAACCCTGTAATTCAGTTAAAAGGTGAAAATAAGATGCACACCTTCAGCCCACGGAGCAACTGGTAGACGAGATAGGTGACTATTTTATCTGTCAGCCTCCCTTTCTTCATGATGTGACTCAGATCCTGTGCCACAAAGGGCATCACCATATAGCTGGAAGAGAAAGAAGTGCTAAGGACTAAGAAAAGATTTTAAAATATCTTGCTCCCACGGTGTCAGTATTTTTGCTTCCTCCATAGTAGTAAGTGTCACAGTCCAAGCTATTGTTTTAGTAATAAAACTGATCTACCTGACCGTTCTTTCCAAATCCGGGGAATTTTTAAAAATGTGCTTTGGAGAATGCCATGTCAGCTGTACAAAGCAAAGTAGCAAAAATGATTCCAACTAGTCTTTAATGGCACAACAGACTACACAGCAAAATTAGTTTTATTACTTTACTTTTCAACATGGAATAAACCTCTACATGTTCCTTTACATAAAGAGATGTCTGCAAGTTCTTCTACTCCAGAACTCCAGAAGATACAAATACAGAAAATACCATTCTGATTCACATAAACTACTTCTGGCCATATACTGTATATCCAAAGCTGCTGATGAACTGTAAGATATGTAGGAATACAACACATGTGAAATGTATATAAAAGGTAGTCTTAAGTGATTATTCTACTATGAATCTCAGGTTCCAAATGTAAACATTATAATTATTGAAAATGCAACTGAAACTAGAACAAACACAGAATTAGTATACCCTGCAAGTAGAATGCATGGTCTGGGGGCTTTAAAACATGTTAGCAATTGTCCAAATGCCTGTAATCACCTCTACCTGCCTCAACAGGTAGCACATTCTGACACTGGAATGCAAAGAGACTTAACTTACAAGGTCTGGAATTTTTCAAGTGATGGATCAGGTGTGAAAACACTGACGAGGGAGATCACCTGCAGAAGGAAAGACACAACTTTCTATTTAGAGAAAATCATTAAAAAAAAAACAAAAATAATGTCTTTTAAATTTTAAAAGAGAATTATTATTTTTAACCTATACTTCAATAAAAGGCCTATTTAATCTCTCTTTGTAGCATATTTCAATGTGTGTAGTGCCCTGGGGTTCTGGAAATGGGTAGTGTTTAAAAGGGGACTCTAATGACATTTTGCTTACACAATTTGTGTAACAGATCCCACTCATTTAATTTGTCAGCTGCTCAGTGATGTATACACCATATGTAAAAGACACTATGGATATTATGGAAGTGGCTTAATTTATATTGGGAGTTTTAAGAAGTGGTTACCAAAGTAGAGCATACATTTTCGTGTTTGATATGCCTGAGGAGGCGGAGCTCCCGATATGCTCTTTTGGCATGTGTGAGGGACTGGAAGGGCCGATACAGCTTCTTTATCGCTACTTTCTCCTTGGTCTTCTGGTCTATAGCCCCGCTACAAGACAGAAACACAGACCACAATCATTTCACACAGAGTTGTGTTCAAATGCTGATTTAGGTAATGCTTAGCTTGAGCTCATAGCCACTTGATTGGTGACTATTCAAGAACACACACATAAAATTTAAATCATGAGCACAGTTTGCAATAGTTTTCTCTGGCCTGCAATGTTTAAACTCTGTGAAAGTAATGGAAACTCTTCTTTTGAATAGCAGTAGCAAACCTCTTAGGTCTGTCAAACATGATGTATTTTCAATTATTTTAAACTGACCAGTCTCAGGTGATCTCCAGTCGGCATAATATTTGCTTTATGCACAGTTTGAAGGATAATGGAAGTTTCTGAAAACAGTATTTAAATGTGAGGTGTCTACTCCTTGTCATGGAGGTTGGTATGCCTACAGCAGAGGTCCTCAAGGGCTCATCTTCAACACGTTTTATAGGTGTCTTTAAATATCTCGCATCTCAAGAACAAGAAAAGACTTCAACTTGACCAATTAAGCAAATAGTAAGTTCAATTAGGTAATTCAGAGTTAAGATGAAATCAAAATCAGAAACCTTTCGGCAACCCTACTATGCAGGACTTTGCGCACTCCTGGTTTACAGATTTTCTTTCCAACTCAGTTGTTAACAACTAAAGCAGCAGCCATGACTCATTGAACTAGTCCAGTCTAAGAACTTCTGCCAGCTCTTCAAGTGCTGTAGGACCAGGATTAGACAGCCCTCATTTACAGGGTTTAATTCTGTCTTTAATCTTGGATAAATATTTTCACATATTGTAGATAGGGTTCTAAGAATCTGTATACTAGATTCCTGCTTCTAAGTTTCACACTAATGTTACCTGGAGTCATCTGTAATCTCTTCCATATAAATTAGTACTCAATAAGGGAAAAGCTTAGTTTAACGTTTTAGCTTCAGTGTGTAAAAAAAAACTGTAAATGAAGCCATCAACTACAACATTTTGTACAGGGACTCAAAAATATTTTAGAAAAAGTTGTTGAATAATATAAAGCTTGGTAAACTACACATAAAAAAGGTATCTAACTAAAGTTAACTAAACCACTGCAAGAAACATTCAGGCCCAAACTTTCTGGAAAAGTTTGGGCTTGAATGGTTTTTGCAGTGGTTCAGTTTACTGAACCTATCTAATCTATAGACCAACTAAATTAAAATGTTTATGTTCATATCCTTAACCCTTTTCTCACACACTTTGATGCCTTAAAAACCGATAAGATAAGAATAACGGCGATGATAGACATCAGCTTTCATTTATTTGCTCTTCATAGGAAAAGGTGCAATTATATAAACATATTTGCATAAATACCGGATAATCAGAACAAATTACTCAAAAGGGTAGCAACCTGAAAGAAACAGGCAAAGTCAATATTCATTGAACAGCTTGAGTTCGTTATCTTATCTGAAGGTATTTAGCAAAATGACTAAATCTTTGATTTATGTCTAATTTCGATCTGTGGATTACAGAGAACATTCATGGTTAACGCTACTAGGTAAACTTTACTTTCTTAACTTGTCTTGCGGTTGTTAACACCGTACAGACTGTGAGTACAATGTTTGCACATTAAAAGTGACGTCTTATGTTTAAAGAAGAATGTTTTTCCAAGGAAAGATTTACGGAGCCGTTTATAGTTTCGTGTCGTCTTTGCATTCGACATGAGGACTAGGAGTAGTGGTGCTTATTTAAACTATTCGGCTGCTATCAACTGCTTTAAAATATTTGGCCTCGGGACCAAAGCTTCTGTCCTAACCTGTTCCAGCTTGTAAAAACACAGACCACAGTCTGATGCCAGTTCGTTGCTTCCTTGGTATTACATTATTTTTAAACAATTCTGAAATAATACGTTCTACAGACAAATGAGAGGAAAAAAATACATAATTAAGCACAGTGGGTCATTATAGAAACACATACCCTATTCGTCTATTTATCTCTGCAGAGCTACTCCAACTCACCGAAAACTGGATCCAATAACAGACGTTTATAAAGGGGGGAGGGAATGTATTTCTTGTTCATTCCAAAAAATAAGGGTAAGAAGGAATGTTAAATCTGATCGTATATACAACATAACAAAATGTTTTTGGAGCGATACATATCCATGCCATATTAAAACCAAAACGTTACAGTATCGTAATAATAACTTCTATGGTACTGCCCCATCATGCGTTACATTACCAGACTGTTCCGTATGCCCCAGAACCAACAGGTGTGAGCCCAGTGTATCTGGTTGGCACTTCCCAGGTGGTTTTCTGAATTTCTTCTCTGCGAAATCCTTTCTTGACCGGGGTCGCCATCTGCCCTTTCACCGTCGACTTTTGTTTGAGACCAAGTGTTCCAATACTTTCAGTCTTGCACAGTCTGTATTACAATGTCACCCAAAGGTAGATCTACAAACAGGTAACGCCTACCTCCCACCTCTTCTCTGGAGTCCCGTTTGTTATCGGAAAGTTTTTTCCAGTAAAATGCTGCAGGTATCCTGGGCGTGAATGGATCCCTTAATTTAAGATCAGTTAAAGAAGGCAAACTCTTCACAGTTTTGATGCATTTTTAATTCCCAAACGGGATAGTTTCGTACTGGACTTGTCATATTATCAATTCGGTTTACACAATTAAGGCAGTAAATTGCACATTGCAGAATTGCTTAAATAGTGTTGATCTTATTTTATTTGTCTTCTTCTTCTGTTTCTTATTCTTATATTAATACTTCGTGGCAGAGCCAGGAAACGATCCGAGAGTCACATGACAAAAACATACGTTTCAGCAATACATTTAGGACTCTTTGAGCAAACTGCTTTACAAGCGCTAGGTAAAAATAAAGTGTATTTCCCTGTGTTATTCCGGCTGCTGTTATGTGCCGAAGCCAGCAGATGGAGACAAAGCATCATGTTGATTTTGACAAGCGTAATCAGTAGACAATAATATGTTCATCATTCCTCTCTAACAATTTTAGATTAACCCATCATCAATCCCATGTAACATGAGGTCTGTCAGGCCTGTAGAAAAAAATAGGCATTTTTGGATAGAAATAAATATTTAAATATAATTAAATGTTACAAAACCGGATATTTAAATCTAATGAAAAGTGGTTCTTTTGGTACACATTTGTTCATTCATTCTCGATTCTGTAGCTGACTGACTACAGAGTGAGTTTATCTGGCGCCTTGACATTGCACTGGTACAACTGCACAGTCATGCAGTGCTCTTAGTGTCTATACAGACATACAGTCAAGATGTGGTATTTTCCTCAATTTGGGGGTTTACTTATATATGTCTGCAGAGCTCTGTACAACTGATAAAACGTCAATTTGTAATGTTACAGTGGATCTGTTTTGCTGTTTTCTAGGTCATTATACTATGTTTCTCCTGACAATACATACTCAAATGAATGAACTGAGTTAAAATTAAGACTTGACTTTGTAGTTGCAGTATACACAAAAAGTATCACATCCGTTCACTGAAATAACTGGTCTAATTTGTCAGTGTCTCTGAAAAACCATCTGTCTGACCATATGACCAGTCTGTGAAAACTATGTTATACCATGAATTGAGGTCAGGACAACATATTGATTGCTATACCATTCCACAAGGTCACATACTGTAGCTAATATTAACTTTCGAATACTGTGGGGTTAATTCATTTCTGCTCTCCACACAGTTTGACAGTTTGAGTGTTCATATTTTTTACTGATTTAATTTTCTAACATTGATTCAGCACTTGATGTGGTATCTTGCTTACTTCACAGGCCCCTATGAAAACACTGAGACAAACATCCAGGTAATAGTTCACAAAACCAATTGATAACACCTACAAAAAGGGGCTCTTTACATGCATGTAGTATTACACCAATATTTTTTCTTATTATTACAGTACAGAGGATTTGCATAATCAATAATACATGTTCCAAATATTTGGCTTGCAGGGGGCATATATTTCCATTTTTTCAAATCAAAACAGTCTTTTCTCAATTCTGTTGGGTTATCCATAGCTTTGCCTTTCATTATCACATCAAATGTATTATTTTTTTGATCATTGTGGCAATTAAAATTACAAGTACAAAAAAAAGAGAAATGTCTCTTGCTGCCTTGCTGTATTGTCAGATCTGTCTGTCCCTGAGTGAAATAAACTCAATGAATTCAGAATTAACTAAACTTTATATTGAAGATGATTTATTTTTCTCACTCTTATTCCTTGTTCCAATGAGGTAAATTAAACCTATTAAAAATGCACATGCTCCTTTGATTATGAGATACATTATACACATATGTTTATAAACAAAAAGAAGGTCTTCTTTGGCCTTGAACATTTATTATTTAGCCCTTTTAACCTTTCCCTGGAATAATTTCCTTTTCCTGATCAAAATCTGTGCAGAATACCAAAAGAAAGCACGATCTTGAAAATTGTTGAACAATTACCTCTCTCTGATGATGTAGTATTCATTATAGGAAGCTACTTTTCTGAAAAAAAAAAATCTGATCATTTTTACATGACTTAGCTAAGTTAAAAAAACAAACAAAAATAAGATCTAACTCCCTACTAGGACTGTAAAATAAGCCTTTGCTAGTGAAAGAAATCTGTGTCAAATGCAAGAATCAATTGCACTGACCCAGACACAGAAAATAAATGCATGATACATCATGCATATGCTTCAAACCATAATAACTTTGGAATAATTATTCCGGAGGTGATAATCCACACATAATTTTGGAATTAAAGGATCATAAATATTTAGTCCTTAATATTGTGTTTGTCATCTATGTAGGATATTTAGGACAAAACCTTTGTTTTTATTCCAAAACTATCTGGACAAGTTCTGTTACCTTGAAAAGGTACAAGGGGTCTATAAAAAGATTTATTTAAATGCAAGTTATTTATGTGTGAGGAGCTAGTGTACATAGGCTTTTTAAGATTTTCATGTAAGAGGCAGACAGAATATGCTGGCGTCATGACAATTTGAATACCCATATTGTTCTCCTCTTGGTGGCAAAGATCAAAGATCCATAAGTATCTCAAAGTCTGGTACAATGCAGTTCTAGATCAGAATCACCTCTATTTCCACCTGAGTGCTTCTCATATTGCCTGAACTAATTATAAGGTTAATTTGTCAAAATTTACCAGTTTCTTTTTAATTCCTCATTGTTTACAGCTATCCTTAAAACATCTGTTGAATGTGGGACTTTCAGAACCAGGACTGTACATCACTGCAATTACAATTCAATGACGTTTTGCTGTGTTTCAATCTCATTGTAGTAAAATTCAGTGTGCACTTCCTCTGTATATAACTGTCCATTGGAAAACTTGTGTGTGCTCCAGGCAGACTCCTGACAAAAATAAAAGTGCAATTTCCATGCTAACAGGCCCAGTACAAATGTAAATTGTCATGCAATACTCCTGAAGTAATTCCACTGGATGTAGCATACAGAATGCCGCCTTTTACCTACTGAACTGTAGGTATAATCTAAGGTAGAAAAGTGGAAAGACAACTCTCACAAATGCATCATTTACTTTTAAACTCGATGAAGTGTTGAAACTAAGGCAAAGTGCACAAAACAAAGCTGGTCTCCTTTAAAGTACAGTTTGTTACTGCTCCTCTCTCTCTGTGCCCCTCCCTTTCTCTCTGCCTCTCTCTTGCTATTAAAAGTTGAGTTTATATTCTGTGTGGCCAGCAAGGAGCTGGACTGAAATGAATGAGGTAGTGTTCAGTGTATGAATGTAGCATGCAATGACAGACAGGCTTGCTCATTCACACAACCTCCCCAGCACCTCTACACTGCTCTGAATGCAGGGCTGTGCTTAGACGGGAACCAGATTAGAACTGAGGGTATGAATAAATACTACTCTTTTTTTCCAGGCTTTTCTCACACCCTTCATTCTGTCCTTCTCTCTTATATAGGAGTTCTCCTAAACATGCAAGCCAATTTGAGCACTAGCTAAAAAAGAGGGGTTATCTGCATTGCTGAGAAAAGGACACCAGGGACTGATCTTTAAAGCTTAATTTAAAAAAGAAGATCACCTCACTGGAAAGAAGCTCGGATTTGCAAGGTTTTGCTTTTGTTTTGGCTTTGATGCAGTGCGCACCCTGGATATGGAAATTGTGCAGGCCTTTCAGCAAACTGTCCTTTCACTAGTTAGAAAGTAAAACTAGAGGAGCTGTTAAACACCGGTCAAGTGGAAAAAAAAAAAGAAAACATAGCTTCTGTAGTGTAATTTCATGCAACAAAATAATGGACCAGTGGCATCTGTTCTTACTATCTCATTACTTTAAGTACAGCTGTAAATATACCATCATGGACCAGGTGATTTTGTATAATTTCTGCTCCTGCAACACTTCAGCCTTAAAATGCAGGCTTCAGGTGGTACACAGATGCTGAACAGAACAACTGGAAAGATATTATCTCAGAGACAATATTGTGTTACAGCTAAAGCACAATTTGCGGTCATAGGTGATGTGTGCCTTGTTACTCTTTGGAATGTGTGACTGCACTATACTGTGATAACATTTCTTACCGTAATACGTGCCTGTAAAGACTGTGTGGTCATCACACCCTTGACAATATATACAGTGAGTATAGAAAGTCACCGCCCCGTTTCAAAATGTTCACCTTTGGTTGCCCTAAAGCCTAAAAAGAAGATAAATAAAATCAGACTTTTTCCAGTTTTATTTACAAATTGTACAGTACCTTGAAACATCCAAGTGAAAAAAGAAAGCAATAATTCATGAAAAAAAAGTATAATAACTGGGTTAGATAAGAGAACATTCCCCTGAGTTAATACTTGGTGGAAGCACCTTTTGCTTGAATTACAGCCTTGAGTCTGTTTGGATACATGTCTACTGACTTTGCACACCTAGAGAGAGGCATATTTGCCCATTCCTCTTTACAGAATTGTTCAAGCTCAGTCAAACTGCATGGTGACGGTTGATGGACTGCCCTCTTCAAGTCATTTCAAAGTGTTTCGATGGGAATGAAGTCAGGGCTCTGACTAGGCCACTCAAGGACATTCACCTTCCTGTCCTTCAGCCACTGTATGGTGTTTTTGGCGGTGTTCCTTGGGTCATTGTCATGTCTAAAGGGGAACCATTTTCAACTTCCTGGCTGAGGGCTGCAAGTTTTCATCAAGAATTTGCCTGTATTTTCCACCATCCTTCTTCCCTTCTATCCTGACAAGTGCCCCAGTCCCAGCTGAAGAGACACCCCCACAGCAGGATGCTGCCACCACCGTGCTTTACTGTAGGAATGGTGTCCTTTGGATGGTAAGATGTATTGGGTTTTCGCCAGATGTACCATTTTGCATTCCGGCCAAAAGGTTAGATTTTTAAGGTGCTTTGTAGCAAAACATAAACGAGCCTTGATGTGGCTTTATTTAAGGAGTGGCTTTTTTCTTGCCACCCTCCCATACAGTCCATCTTTGTGGAGCGGTTGTGAGATTGTTGTCACGTGCACACATTGACCAGTCTTTGCCATAAAGGCCTGTAGCTCGTTCAAAGTTGCCATCGGACAACATTTCAGAGTGTCATACAACAAAAGGTACAAATTTTGAAAGGGGGTGGTGATGTTCTATATTCCGCTGTAATGTAGTACAGCGTGGCAGTATTATAGTGTAGTGAAGCACTGTCAAGGTACAGCAATATGAAAGAAAGTTATAGAAAACTAGTGTAAGAAGTAGAGGAAATGTTAAAAAAAGTGTAAATTCACTGTGGTTAGTTTTCATAAGGGACTATGTTGTGTGATTATGCACCCCTTTATATGGTAACTTAAATGCACTGTCTGAAAATGATTTATGTCTTGTATCAGCACAAAGCGAAACTACAGGGAAGAGCACGTGAAACTGATATCCTGTCTTATGTAAAGGGTTGTGGGTGTCTATAGCCGAGACTGGGTTAATTACAAAAAGGAGCTTCTTTCCAGTTCTGCTCAGATAGTACCGTTGAAGCATTATCTATGGACACACGTTTCTATTTTCTTTATTACATAATATTTTTGTTCTTCATTACCGAAGGACATTTTATAACCAGTCTGTACTGTATTGCGAGGACATCAATTACAAACCATGACACAAGCAGGATATTCCGACAGTTTTCTGTGGTGGGATTTAATTGCTGTGGCATATCCATTCAAATGTGATTGAATCGCGTGAATGTAACTGTCATTTCCCTCAAAGGTGATGCCCACATCAAGATGGGGTCAGCATTTGTTGTAATCATCAGCTGGAAACCGAAGATGTATTTAGTGGTGTTAACTTTATTGTTGTGTAATGTGTAATTTACGTTTTCGTAATAAGAATTGAATGCGTTTTGCCCTTATGTTTTAATGAGCATTTTACTGTGATTTTAAACGTATTTCATGCTTTTGAAATGTTTACACCTGCGGTATGTATAAATCTAAAAATTATGCACATTAAAAGTTTTAGGCTTACAAATGATCCATTCTTAACTTTGAGGTCGTTTCCCTAGTCTTTTGATTTCTACAGGGCTGGACAGGATGGTATGTGGAAGGACCTGGTGCTGCTGAAAAAATGAATTCGTTTCCTCTGAAAGCATTGTCTGTATTACCCTGACCCTAATAATCGGGAATGGCAGCAGGCAGAATGAAGTGTTGTTGTAATGATCTGAAGTGCGTAGTTTTGTGGTCTGGAAGTGTTGCCCCTTTAAGAACTATGTGTGGAGAACACAACGTCGAGGGGGCCCGTCTGTTGTAAATGCATTTGCGGAGCAATTATTTGAGCCAGCCCCTTTAAGTATTGAGTGTTCAGAGGGCAGGCCCAAGTGAGGTAATCTGTCCTGCGGACGCTCTTTATTCCCACTACTGTTCACCGGGTACATGTGATAACTGTGGAAGGCACCCATCACAGTTAAAAAAGCAGCCGCTCACGGAGAGTACTGAATTTGGACAAAGTACTTTAATTTAAAGAGGTGAGCTCCATACAAACATCTGCTTGCCTACCGTTTCAGGCAGATTTCGTTGAAAACCGAGTTGTGAAGGGAGAAGAAACTTTATTTCGGGCAATCAGTGAATGGGATTTTTTTTTCCACCTTTGAGAACAAGTTGATGGGATATCTCGATCCATACATTTTCCTTTGGAAGTTAGCGAGTTTTTCACTGCTGCTGATGAAACTGGATTAAATCCCCTTTCTGAGACGCATTTGTTTGGGAAATAAGATTTGTAAACTTGTTTTCTACTTCTGATACAAAGGTAAGAAACGCAAAGTGTTATTTCCCGAGCTAAATTTTATTTGTCGCTGTTTTACTTTATTTGCTCACGTATCAAAGCTGTACTATAAATTATGTGAATTGGGTGATTGGGGTTTCTGAGCAACGTTGATGCTTTCAACTGCAATTGCAAATATATGGGTGATCCCAAACTTGCGGTTCTGAGGAATACCTATCTCTCAAGTAACGATAAATCACTGCATCATCCCTCATATATTTAGCCATAATAGTCTGTTGATAGAACTCAAACCGCTGGTTTGCTTTCGAATGGAATTGAAATTGTCACATAATAGGCGCCTTTTAACCTTTCCATTAATATAATTTTAATTACACGTTTGTGACCTGCACTAACCCGTACGCAAACATCCCAAACTGAATATAATTTTCGTTAAAGGGTGTATTGTAATTTTAATGACTTCTAGACAACGCTTCTAGTTTATTTCCTTACTAGCACTTTGTGACGGAGGTTTTGTGATAAAATGCTACAAACATATTTGCCGCAAAAAAAGACTAGCGAAAAGCTTAAACGTTGTGAATACCACCCCCTCTTTTATGATGAAATCCCTATAGCGTTGCAGTGTGTCCTCTCTGGTTTGCATTGGGGGTGGGGGCCACTTGATCTTGTTGCAGCTGACCAGTGGTTTACAGATCTACAATCAGCGGGTGGTCAGGGTATATGAATACGGCAGCATACTTATGTTGTTTTAACTTCTTCCAGCAGGAGCCGCTGTTGCGCAGTTTCAGTATTTCGTTCAGTGACAAATATTGGCGAGGCAGTTAGCCTTAGGAAAAGCATATTCTGCTGTTTTCCCTGAAACAATATAGAATAAACTATATAACAGGTGTTAGCTTTCCAAATACTTCATGAAGCGGTTTTCAGTAATACTTTACATTTAAGGTTATGAACATTACAGCTCATAATAGTTTTGAAATAAATATATGTATATTTTTAAAATTTATGACCATTTGAATTAAACTTTAATGTTCCTAAATAGCTATTATCGATCAGAAAAATAATTCTACATAAATTCCCCACTGGAATGGACAGTGTAATATTTGACTCACTGTGCACTATACCCAAATGAAATTTGAAGTGATTGTAGTTAGTTGCTTGCTTTTGTAGAGCAGTTTTCACCCTGAAGGATCCCAAAAGTCCTCCATTTATAGGAGGGGAGCACCTGCCTGAGCCCTAAAACACTGCAGATCAGGTGGAGAGATTCAATATTACCTCACAGTTGAATGAAGGGGGAAATTTAAGGTTTCCACATTGTTCAAGCCCTGGTGTTAACACTGTTGCACAGTGCCTTGGATCTTTAATGACCCAGTAGTTAAACATTTTTGCTTAATGTCTCAATGAGTTTAATGTCTCATCTGAAGAATGGTACTTTCTGTGACACAGTGTCCCTGGTCACCATCCTCATGCTCACCTATAAGGCTCTGCGTGGCTTGGCACCTCAGTACCTGTCTGAACTATTATCGCCCTACTCCCCACCTCGCAACCTCCGCTCTTCAAATTCTGCCCATCTTACTGTCCCCCAAGCCCGTCTACATTGTATGTGTGACAGGGCCTTTTTCTGTTATGCCCCAAAGCCCTGGAACTCTCTCTCTAAGGATATCAGAGAGTCACCTTTGCTAATATTCTTCAAATCCAGACTCAAAACCTTCTTTAGAAAAGCCTTTACTTAACTGGTTCCATTCTTCACCCCCTGCTTCTTCAACCCCTGCTTTTCTTAGTACCACCATATACGGTCTCCTCTGTCTATTGTAAAAGTGTTTTATCTTGTGTGTTCTTTTTATTTATTGTTGTTGTCATTCTGTAAAGCGCTTTGAGAAGCCACTTTTAAAGGTGCTATATAAAATAGTTTATTATTATTAAATTGATGAGCTGGTCCAGGGAGGAATGTGCCACCTACTGGTCCACTGACTGTACTCACTACAGCAACCTGGTTACCCTTATGGCTCTACTATACTAACCAGACCTAGGCTTGGCTTAGCTTCTGACAATATCAGGCTACAAGGTGGTAATAAGAGAAGTAGATTCTGGATTGAGAAAGTAAATCAATATATCAGCATGAAGAGTTGCAGGTGTATGTAGTACCTAGTAGTGGTATGGGTACTCTTTAATTGGTATCTTTCCAAAAAAATATGAGAAATTGACCTGTTAAAAACTGCTGCAAATATGAAATCCAATAAGCATTAATGATAAGTGTATACATTTAGCTATGTTTTGTGTTAAATTAGGACAATTAAGCCAAACTATGATTAATTTAATAACAGCACATTGCACTCTAAAACTGACCAATTTGAAATTAAATTCTATATTGATAGTTCAGCAGTGTACACGTAAGTATATCTTTATGAAGGTAAAACACATTATATATTGTTTTGTTTGGAATGCAATTTGTATAGAAGGTCAGAAGGCTAAAGTGACTTTTCTTGTTTTTCTTCTCTGTGGTTTGTAACTAATATATTTGGATTCCTGAAAAGATAGCCATCTTCCCTTGAATGTTTACTCATATCTGTAATGGCAGCTCTGCATGGTCTCCCTTTTCTAAGAAAGTTTCTGCATCTATGTACTGTAGCCAGGATGTATGCGTTCTGGCGGAGAAGTCAAGTCAGACACTTGCAAATGAAATGTTTCTCCGAATCAATGCCCATATGTGTACAGTTATAAACCCTGCCAAAAGGAGGGAAGGAGTCCAAACTGGAATTTTAACTATGGTCTCATTTTTCATGAAAAAAAACTTCTGGATGTTTTATTTTAATTAAAGTGAATTTGGTTCTTCCCTGTTGGATCGATTTAAACTAATATTGCTAGTGTTAAACCTCTTTTTTGCAGTAGCACATATGTCGGTAGAGTTTGCTGGCAGTTACTTCTTGTTGGTCAGGTGTTTTTTTGTTGGGCTATTAAGAGTCATAAAAATAATCGAACTTCTTTAATTTCAGTGTTTGTAGTCCGTAGTGTAAAGTCAAAATGAAAACCAAAGACCTTTCGGTTAAAACAAAATCTAAATTCTGAAGCTAAAAGAAGAGAAAGGTAAATCGGAATCACAGCACATAAACTGGACTGGACCTAATTCAGCAATTTGGAATTAAAGCACAGGTATAATTACAAATGAACCCAAAATAGGTTGACAAAGAAAAATGTCTGCAGTTGATGCCCAAAACTTTCTCAGGGAAGGCAAAACAAATGTTGGTGAAATCACCAAAATACCCTGGAGGTTAGGGATCAAGGTACTAAAATCCACAGTTTGCAGAAGACTGAAACAACTAAGTTATAAAGCCAACTCTGCAAGATGTAAACCTCTCATCACCACCAAGAACAGAAAAGCCATATCAGAATTTGCTCAGAAGTACAGAGAAGAGCCAGGGGAGTTTTGCAACAGTTTTATAGAGAGATAAGACTAACATAATCCTTAACTAAAGTGTGGGAAAAGATTAAAGTGTGGAGAAAGAAAGGAGCTGTAGAAGCTCCAAACTACTCTACCTCATCTGTGAAGCATGGTGGAGGTCATGTCATGTCATGGCCTGGACATGGATGACTGCATCTGGAACTGTCTCACTCCTCTTTATTGATGATGTAGCTAATGATGGCAACAGCAGAATGAATTATGAAGTCCACAGAAACTTTTTTTTTTAAATGGGATGGGCTTCACCATCCATGCAGCATGACAATGACCCAAAACATACAGCCAGTGCTTCCAATGAGTTCATCAGGAGAAAAAACATGGGAAATCTTAACACTGTTAAAGTGATATAAATCCAATTTTGTGCTGTCTGAACTACACAAAAATGGGTAGTACCTCAAACTTAAAGAACTGCTCCAAAGGCTTGGCAAAGCTTCTGAAATGATTTCACAAACTCTGGTGAGTTCAGTGGCTCAAGAGATATGCAACCAATAACAGACTTTTACCCTGTAATGTACTTAAAGATTATACTTGTGGTCACTTGAAATCACTAGGTTGGACCCAAAGTATGCTTTTGTTTCTAATATGATAACATGTATAAATGGACTTATCCAAAGCATATGCTGTATTGTGCTCATTGTGATCACAAATACAAATTGCTTGACTGTAATGTTGGAACCACAAAGTAAGAACACTTTTGGAGGGCACTATATATAATTGTTCATTCTAGAAAACTAGCAATACAGTATACGTTTTTTTGTGAACCATGAAATTTTCAGCATAGACTGAAAGGTTTCGGTATGACTCTGGTACCGATTGAATTATTCAGTACTTATTTCCTTTAATTTAAGGATGAAGTGGTTATATTATTTTAATTCACATGTAAACTTTTCTACTTTTCTATTTATTTCTCGATCATAGTATGATTGCTGTATAGGAGAGAAATAACTGGGAATATTGTATCTTTAGATACAGCAGGCAGTCAACAAACAGTTTATCTGGTAACAGATACTACTTCCTCCTATTTATCTTAAAATAGCTCTAGAATTTATTCATCTACTGAACCTCTCCTTCTGAAAATCTGAACCTGATTTCTCTCTGAGAACACCCAAGAGAACTTGTTGGTGGGCCTTTTTGGTGATATTGAATTCAACGGGAAATTGTGGAAAAGGGCACATTTGTAGGTATTTGCTAAATGATTCTTATTTTCAGCTGAAGTTTATAAGCACATTACTGTGTATCTTTTGAGGGGCTTTGACGTGTTGTCTTTCAGGTGCATTTAATTTAAATTCTATCATCCGGCTTCAGTATCAGTTTTGATGTACAGTGACTTTGAGTTGGATAATATTCAAAATAAAGAGGAATCAAAGATCCATTTAATAGTTTTTTTTCTTATATACAGCAATGATCTTTTTAATGCTGTTACATAACCCAAACTATGTAATTGCTTAGACTTACAGGCTTGCATATAATACCAAGCTTATGTTTTTCTTGCGGAAAGTGCATAGATTTCTTGACTGTATTTCTCCAGTAGCTGCCTCGATTTAACCTTGATCGGCTGTCAGGCACTTTATTT